TACAAAGGTAAAAATTATACACACAACAAGGCGATTAAGAGAATCAACCCCAAACCCTTATAATTGTGGCCCCCACGCAAATGTGACAACGAACTTATGCCTTGATTGACAGTCAGTAAATTCCACTAGGTACCTATCTAGGATGTCGGTATTTACTTCAAGACGAATTGTTACACGTAATTATAGTTGTAAAAACCTATTAAAATTTATGCTAGGGATACAAATGGAAATATAATTGTCATAAGTTCGGCACATATTATATTTCCCAATTAGTACTGACAATTAATTTGTAGTTCTCTGAATAACGCATGTCTTCTATTCTCTATGGAACAGTCTCGTAAAAGTAGGTATTGTTTTATATTTTATGAAATATTAGATTGTAATAATATCTAGAAATTCAAGGATATGCATTTTCAGTTCGCAGAATGTCTTTATAGATATGTTATCAGCCTTTTGAAGTGATGAAGTTGGGCTTGTACGTACACAGAAACAATGACGTTTTATTATTCATTGTGGAAATGTTTTCACATTTTTGCTATTACTGTTCGATATTATTATATTCTATATATCGATAATAGAAAGATGAATGAAGCTTTGTGGAATTACCTGTATCAAGAAACAAGAATAAAATAAATATGGTTATTAATAGGTTCAGATATCAAACTGTAATTGAAATATAGTACCAAGATTTATGGTACCTCAAACTATAAAAAAAATAAGAACGTCATAGATAACAAGATAGTCGCTGACGAATTACGCTTTTTTAATTACTTATATCAAGAATAAGATAAATATTATGGCTAATAATAGGTAAAGCTAACAAACTGTAATTAAAATAGACTATCAAGGTTTATGGTACTTTAAATATTAGGATAATAAGATAGCTATTTTTTAATTTTCCATGGCATCATTCATGGTTTCGAAGTGAAGAATGTTAATAAACGTAAAGTGTCATCCTCAGAGTCAATACAGAGGTTGGTGTGTGCCGAGTTTAAGTGGCACTACCTGTGTAACATTGAATTGATAACAAACTCTGTGTAAATATAACTTCTGATAAATTATCTCAGTTAATTTAACTTAAACATAATCAATATTTGGATTCTGAATTAATTTGCATTATGCTATGTTTAAAGAGTGCCTAAATGATAATAAAACTAAATTCACACGTCTCATACACGACAGTTTGACTAAGCAGAGCCTGTACTTAACTATAGTAACCAGACTGCCGATATACTTAGTTATTATTTTGTTATTACATACATAAATTAGTGTTAAATTATACCCAGACACAGAAAAAATTATCTTGCTCATCACGTAATTATTAATCTTGAGTGGAATCGAACACACCACCTCAGACTTAAAAGTCAGGGTCACTAACTACTAGATCAACAGCCCTACTGGGCTGTTGATCTAGTAGTCGAAGAATTATTATTATAAAAAAAGAATTAGGGAGAATCGCACATAAAATAAAAGATATTATGATTAAAGAAAAGTTTTCGGGAAAAACGAGAACAGAGAGAAAAGAGTAAGAGAGTATCTCTCTTTTCTTAGATTGGAATGGCTGAAGTGGAAGCAGATTAAAGGGTATCGGAGGGGATTTCCGCACAGAAAAAAAAAACAGGTCAGTTTAAAGGATTCCAGAGCACTTTATTCACAGCCATGTACAATATGGACGATGCAACAGTATTTACTAGTACGGTAAACTAATCAAGCTTGAAATCACATATCTACATTTTAACAAATAAATACATGTTTTCCGTAATATAAAACATGATTTATGAACTATAGTTAGTTATGTTTGTGGCTGAAAGACGAATTGTTTAACGGAATGTTATGTAGTAGGTAACAAAGTAAAATTCTGAGTAAAATATATTATATCTGCGTTGTGATTTTTCAATTACGTTGAACACTACCGCTGGACGGGCGTCTGGAATATGTTAGACGTACAATACAGTGGGTTTGTATCGTTATGGTTCTAAGAAATACTGCCGTATTGGAAAGTCCAGATTTATTTATAAATACTTATAAATCACTAAACATGAGAATCTCACTATAGATAAACTAATTTATAAATGATTGATTGATTGTAATAATTGTTTAATTATTAACTGGAACGCGCAACTTGTATAAATAAAATAGCATTATATTATGACGATTCCAAATTTGATATATTTTAAATATACGATTCTTTCCAATTTTATAATTCTGATGCCTACAAACTTTAGTGGCACAGACAACAAGCTCGTGAGACAGCAAGTCCAAAGTGTTACTTTTCAAATAGGTACGTCAAAAACATACAATGAGACAATTTAAATTATGTAATATGAAAAAATATATCCCTAACTGACAGTTATAAATTAAAATGAGAAAGCGTAACAGGAATTTTAAATAAAAACCAACCACTGTGTTATTACTGTGTGTGCTTAAAACAAGTTTCTTTTGTTGATAAGACAGAATATCTGGAAGTGTCAATGACTCCCGCTGTGTAGTTTTATTTCATACATTTATGCATGTACATTGTTAAGAAAAGATTTAATATTTTATTTATTTAAAAGTAATCGCAGTATCGACACACAATGATGCTGCTTACTCATCAGCAGTGTTCAGTAAAAAGTGAGTATGGAATATACTTATTATATGTAATGTAAGTATACTCAGTAAATATGAGAGAAAAGTATGAATCTCTAATAAAACAGTTGAGATGATCATTTATAATAATCCATTGCGTAGTAAACATGATACGTATAATAAAATAATGTGAGCTACTATTCTTATTATTTAAAAGACTACCTACCTAGTTAAAAATTCGTGTGTTGAGACAGAAAAAAAATAAAACAAACAGCAAATTTTTACCCATCAAATTGGTAATGTCATCGCTATTGTGTCTTGGATGACGTTATTTGTATTGTGGTACAAAAAAGACTTTTACACCATGAACCATAGATTTCTAGATGTCAGCGCATACTAAAAATATTAGACTGCAAAAGTAAATGACTGAAGAACGTTTCTTAAGTTGATCTTTTGTTCCGTTTAGTTTGTACTTAGCTCACACTTGCGATGAATATCAGTTGCAGTTTTATAGTTTTAAATTTAGACCAGAAAGTGGGTTTACTTTATGCGTAGTAAACGATAACGATACTGTGAGTAATATGACTGTCTACACACCGACGTTTTTTTTAAATGGTTTGTAATTAGTTTTATTATTGTTCACCGTCTACAACATAGAGTAACTATTTAGTAAGTAGTAGCATAAATAGTGTCCATCAGTAATGTATCCCTTGCCGTAAGAAATCTTGTATAATACATCAATGAATGATTACCTGTCAAGCTCTTGAAGACTCCAAATATGCATACTCAAAGTGTCTTCATATTTATTGTACGTGTCGATCCTGGATGACTGTAATTACTTACTATTTTTAGAGAGCAGGTCGTAAATAGAGATCGTAAAATAACACTGACAATTTTCAAATAAAACTAAACATATTCATAAAATAGTGCCAGACCTGGGAAGTAAGTGTGGTCATTACAATCACAGTACAACTTACGCAACAGCTACGACGGGACAAGTCAAAGGTTATTTGTATTTCAATTGTGATATTCATGTACTTATCACCCTAAAGGTTATAAACGCCATGTTGCTACGAAGAAACTAAATAGATTTGCAAAAAACTCTCGTCATAAATTCTTGCTGGTCTTTTAATGTGCGTCAAGAAGAAAGTGAAGAATGTGTGTAGAAGAGCTGAGCAGCTGAGAGCAAAATGTAGTTATTATTATTAATTAATTAATTTATGATTGTCATCCTACTGTTTAATTAATGGATATTTTTTTAATGGAATATTTTTAAAGATTCCCGTTTAAATATTTTTTGTTCGGAACACATAAAGTTAAATAGTCCAACGTTGATTCACATATTATACAGTTTCATACCAAATAGGTTTAATTAATCAGACAGATAATCAGAGCGTAAGAGAAAAAAAAACATTTATGGCACGGTATCGCATGCATCGGTACGCATTCGTGGTAAGAATATTTATTTCTTGAGATGCTCTAGATATGAGTTAAATCAGGAAGTAAATGAAACATTGTAAATAAATTGTTTGTTAAATATGTATAAACCATAGATTAGGGTAATTAAAACAAAAGCAAGAATCAAATTAGCTCAATGGTTTCCCTGGATTTTTTTATTACTGTAGTGGTCTTTTAAGATTATGTGTTATGTATCCTCATTTCATTAGGAATTATATTTTTTATTGTCACATTTGCGGAATAGGTTAGACATTTGTGAATTCCTTTAGACGTATTATGAAGTGAATACAGCTCTTCAAGTGAAATTTTAATGCAACTTACGGCTTTAATAGCTATAAAAAAGATTCCAACGAATTAAGAACCTCCTCCTTTTTTGGAGTCGGGTAAAAAGGTGCGCAAAAATCACTACAGATGAGTTGTGATGACTTCAATTTGTCAACTGGCTTGTGGTGAAACAATGTCAGTATATCTTAGAACTTAGGTGTTAACATTCTTTCTTAAAATAAACCGAATCTAAGTTAAGATAGAAATGGATTAATATTATTTCATATATATAACCAAAGGTCTCAAGGTAACCCAATCAGTTAAGTATCGCCATGGTGTGCCGCGGTTCGAGTTCTGAGAATCGACTTTATCGATTTACTGTAGTGCATATTGAATTGTTTAAATAAACACGTTTTCAAACCACAAATGAAGAAATAACTATGTCTACCTAATTTTCATGTTTAATGATTGTGTACGTAGGTACATAGGTATTTCTTATCTTGATCGAATTGTTAGGTGGCGCCAGTAATAACACAAAAATGCACATAACTATCTCATTGTTCAACGAAATGATAACTTTAGGAATCAGTAATTATCTCCACAAATCAGGGTCGTTTGCGATAAGTCACGCAAGTGGCAAGATATGAAACCTTACTAGAACAATTCCCATTTCTTTGTTTTTCTTTACAATTGTAATTTAATAAACTTACCGTTAAATGTGTCGTATGCTGTAGGCTGATAATCATCCCTGAATTTATTCTGCGCATAAGCAGCTATCAACGAACTCTTTCCTACGGCTCCATCACCTACTAACACACACTTAATCTTCTCCTTCTTTCCGCCTTTAACCTTCCTTCTGTCCTTTATTTGAAACATCCGATTCAAAGTCCGTCTACTCTTCTTATCCCTCACCGCCCACTCGTTCACTTTATCACAACAATTTAACTCTTCAGACACATCATCAGACATCACTGTGCGACCATTCTCTTCTGCAACCTCCGAGTAATCGTAATCATCTTCGTCCCGTCGCGATATCGGGAACTGGCTCGGACTATGCACTCCGAACACGAAGGGCCCGTCTCTCTCGGGCACACGGGCAGCGAACCCGTTCGCCGGAGTCGCGGGTTTGGCGTAATGCACTACCGGAGCACGATACTGATTCGAAAGGTAGGCATCTGACGCCTGCGGTTCAAACCTAAACACTAGTTCTGCTTCCCTACGGTCTAAACTTAATTCAGGAGTTACTTTATCTTGAAAGTATCCGACTTTCTCACGGGCTCTCGCCTCCTGCAGTCGCCTTTCGAGTTCGACATTCGATGGTTTCCAATAATCTGGTCGGTATTCGTAAGGATTATCTGTAGGCAGATTCCTAGATGCGGGCAGGGCTCGGTGCGGGCCTGTGTCGCGGGGAGGTGCGCGTGGTGGGACCATTAGAGGCTTTTGCGGTTCCGCCAACAACGGTCGGCGCGCTGAGAGGTTTGCGTTTCTGTTAAACATGATCCCTTCTAAGCTAGGAGACATTTGCACTGTCACGATTGGCTGCGTACAAACCGTTTAACACTGTATGCGTTTGCGCACATAACTCGCGCGATTTAATCGGAAAAGATCGCGGTTTGTAGAGCGCGCGGGTTCGAGTAGCGACGTGCTCTCACCGCGAAGTATAAAACGCGACTGTCGCAGTCTGCTCAGTCAAGGCTCTCGCTTGTCGCTCGCCGGCCGCCGCTCTCAGCTCAGCTTGGCGATAACCGCGCGCCCCTCGCCCGGAGAAATGACCTGTTGCTTCTGTTACCTGTTCAGGTACAAGCGACCGTTTTGCGAGCAAAGCGCAGCTGCTGGCAGCTAACAAATAACAAAGCCCATCATATGGCGATGCCAGACGGCAACGCCTCACGTACCCTCGCAAGGATTTTCATTCACGATATCCAAAGATGAATGAACGACAACGTGTTTTGTTTACCAAATGATTTATGTTTACATATAAGGAATACTGACCTCGTACTTCTATAATGCAAGCTTAATATGGTTCAGTAAATTACATCGTTAAATATTATTATTTAGATAGGTTTACATCTTAGCTTCCTGCTTTGGTTCTTAGGTTTTTAATTACAAGTATAATAGGTACTGTACCTACCTGCACTATTGCGTTCGTTTCATAGCAAAGAATTGCGCCTCTGCAAACATACCTGGCACTGCACCTCCACAGCAACCCCAACAGCACCCTAAGTGCGTTAGTGTACTGAACAAGCAGGTCGCTGAACTCCCGACCACAATAACTTACCCACAGGCTACACGTGTAGAATGACTAGCAGTAGGCTTTAAATAACGTAATCTTTACTGCGTACGTACGTCATGCAAACAGGACGCGGACAGCCAGCGACCTGCATTCACTATCTATGTCAACGTGATCACCATGATCTTCGGTGACCCTTTACTTGAACTTATTGACCGTAGATAGAGGTACCTCAGAGAGTAATTAGTTCAGATCAGCTCTTGTCACTTGATTTAAAAACAAATAGCTCACTTTTCTTCACATTGTACCTAAGCCCATGAGCCACCGCATACGACTCATAAATAGAAACGATTCGTCTCAGAGCACTGATTGATTGGGTCAGTAATACCACATCATAGGCAAAACTGAAATTTATATTTTACTAGCTGACCCGGCAAACGTTGTTTTGCCATTTACATTATTTCTACGAAATATGTAAATAAAATAAAATAGCGGTGGGTCACCCTTGTGATTTAGGGATATGAAAAATAGATGTTGGCCGATTCTCAGACTTACCCGATGTACACACAAAATTTCTTAAAAATCGGTCCAGCCGTTTCGGAGGAGTATGGTAACTAACATTGTGACACGAGAATTTTATATATAAGATAAAAAAATATAAGTGTCTCCGACGGAGACCTGCAACTAATACGTAACTGAAAGTCAATTAATTGGTTTTTGGCAGCTCTATGATCAGTCAAAATGCACTGGTTATGTCAAGCCCAACGTCTCTTTTAATTTGCGTACCGTCAAACCTTGCAACTTTGCCCGAATTCTCTCGGTTTTGATATTTAACGTTGAATAACGTAAAGAATAAAAATATTTTTACTACGTAATTGCGTTTATTTGGTAGTAAAGGTACTGTTTTTATACAAATTATGTTATAATACGAAGATTATCAATATTTCTATGAAAAAAATTCAAACATAAAGAGTGGGCAAATTGGTTTGTACTTTTTACAGCTTTGCCCATTTTGCAGAAACTTTTATAAAAACGGTTTTTTTTACATTCTAGGTCCCACAATTTAAGGACCCCAACAGATAAATAGTTAATCCAACATTGGGCGTTATTATTAACGTGTAAAAGTTCATATTGTGTGTGTAAAATAATTGGACAAAGTCCTAAATATTATTTAGGAACTTTTCATACAAATAAAACAATAAGCTAGGGTTGTCACTTTTTCTTTTTCGTAAATCGCGCGTAAATCTACGTCTCGGTCTTGTACTGTTTTCTCGTACCGACATTCAAATATAATATTATTTAATAAAAATAAATATAATAATAATAGGGTACCTAAGTACCCTATTATGTTCCTACATTTTAAGACTTACTAATAAGTCTTAAAATGTAGGAACATAATGTGTTCCATATATTTTAGATACAGATATTTAAAGTAGCCGTATCAAACCAGCCAGATTTAGAGAAGAACTGTATCTGGTATTATCTGGACCTCCTTCAAGCCATTCAGAGTACAAATTTGTAGATTCTTACACCACGTGCATATGTTGGTAGGCATGCTCCTACTGTGCAGCAGGAGTATGCCTTGCAGTAAACATGATGGAAATACAATATTTTGTGCTATTTAATATCCTATCAGGATATTTTACACCTTTTCTAAAAACACACTTTGAAGTACCCGGATTGTCAGATAATTCGTTTCGTCATAAATTTTGAAAGAAATTTTCCATTTCTTCTAATCCTTTTTCAGCACGGACTTTTTTTATATTTTGAGCCGTTCTAATGGTCAACATTGAACTGTGTCTGTTCAAAAATACATCTACCCAGGTATCACTGGGTAATTTGCCATCAAACAAATCAGATCGTGAGTTTTTATCTACGTATTTGGAAACTAACATTTTTATATCCATTTTTGTCACACGACTGCCATAATCTGCCGTAACTATCAATACCTTTGCCAGTTTTCCTTCCTCTTCTTTACTAAGTTTTTTTTTGTCCTCCAGCAGATTTCATGTGGCGATTTCTTACTTTATTTAATATGGTCCGTCGAGGGATTCCAAACCTTTTTTCAGCTTCTCTACTTGACAATATTTTATGTTGAACCATGTCAACAGCTAATTCTAACATTTCGTCTGAATAATCTTTATGTGTTCTTGATCCGAAAATTCTTTTCCTTTTTCTTATGGTTTGTGTCCTTCCAACCTTCATTCTAAAACATAAATAATTAATTATCTTAATTATATACTGTACCATTTCCTATCTCTCTCCATTCTATAATAATGCAATAAATTATTGAGGTTGACAAATCGGTTAACATACATAAAAAACCCTTACATGCAGACGAATATAGAACCTCCTCTTTATTCAGTTGGTTAAACATGGAAATGACAACCCTAGCGGTAATGTCTCGGTGGGCAAATTCGTAAACAATGCTTCAGAAAAAGTAATTTAACATTGCCCACCATGATTTTTTGGTTATTAGAAGTTATATTCTATTAAATATTAAAGCATTGTTAATAATAAGCTACAAATTAAGTCTGGATGAAGAATTTCTTACCTGCGGCAACAGCAACTCGAGATTGATGAAAAGTTTTTCACATGAACTTTGGCCCACTAAAAACACCACCAACTTTAACACAGTTTGAGCGCCAACTGAAGTGACATTAACCATAGACACTCATTTAGTCTTTCCAGGCACACGATGAAATTTTATACCGTGGATCAAATATTAAACATAACTTAATTGTTTATCAAATATTTCTATATTTCTAAAAAGTATCCTTCTGGGCAATGTCGGATCAATTGGGCAATCTTGTAAGGTTTAACGGTACTAGAACTTTAAGAGTTTCATTTAAAATTTGGTTTGTTTTTTGTAGGCTTTTCATAATAATAAAAAATCGAGGCAGTCATAAGGTCTGTCGATAGAAGTGAAAACTCAAAACAATGGAATAGCTATGTTCTTTTTTAATTTTTTTAATTAATTAAAATCCGAATTATTCAAATTTCATGATTTGCAAATTGAAATTTTTAACATTAGTATGGTTTTCACATCTGTTGGCACTCCAAGCAATAATTATATACATTATTATATAGTTTATTAATTAATCATTTCATCAGCAATCATTATTTAATGGGCTGCACAAGCTCAATAAGCGCTTTGGTTCCACAACTGTAAGTGTAATTTCTATTTATTTATTATAAACAAATAAATAAATAAAAATACAAAATTTCAATATTTTTACTTAATAAGTATTTACATAGATTTTAATGAACTTTATTTTTATTGTTAGAATTAGCACTATTATCATCATTCAGCGCAATATTAGGCAATTTGTACTTTCAATTATTGCATTATTGTCAAAAAAAGATATAATATATTTATGATAACTGAAATAAGAAACAAATATGTTTGACTGAAGTTTATCTAATAAAAAACACTGCGTCGATCGTCGTTTGGTGGCAGCCTCGGTGGTGTAGTATGCGACTGCTTTGCTGAGGTCGCTGATTCGAACGGGTCGCTGTGGCATACAACAGTTTGACGTCTGCTACTGCCTCAATTCAAAAACCAATCAACTTTAAATACTCTACAAATATAATTCCATTCTTAAATTTCTTTTTAATACAATTTTTAAAATGATATTAACATTATAGAGTACTAGCTGACCCGCGCAACTTCATCTACGACTCTCAATAGTTGTAAATTTTCTCCGTTTTTGAAACATTCTTCATTGGTGCTCCGCTCCTATTGGTCTTAGCGTGATGATATATAGCCTATAGCCTTCCTCGATAAATGGGCTATCTGACACTGAAAGAAATTTTTAAATCGGACCAGTAGTTCCTGAGATTAGCGCGTTCAAACAAACAAACAAATAAACAAACTCTTCAGCTTTATAATATTAGTATAGATAAAAAAACATAGGATAAAACAATTTAAAAAATGAAACTAGATTTAAAGAAGCGAATTAAGTACGCAAAACTATGATGAAGAAATAAGAGATGTTGTAGGTAGACTTCAAAACTCATTTCAAGAGTTACACAAGGACCCGAATATTTGCAGATCATACAAACATTTGGTCCGACCCGGGAATCGAACCCGAGACCTCAGCACAGCAGTCGCATACGTTATCACTGAACCACCGCAGCAGCAAAACCCCACCCCAGATTAGTTTTATATATTAATTATTGATTACAAAAACTCTTTATACCAATAGATTACAACTGTAACCTGCATCTACCTTATAAGATTTCTACACTACCCAAAGGTTGCCTAGTAGAGAATGCCTAAGGAATTAAGTCCGCCGATGTGTTTAAGTGCATAAAATTGTAAATAAGTAAAATAATATACGAACGATCTCAAAGTTCTGTAGAAAGACTGTTGTTGGATTGTTTAGGTCTCCAAATACCCGTAACGATTGCCACAGATGTTCGAATGGTAACCGGGACCGACGTCCGACAGCTTAATGTGCTCTCAGAAATACGGAGGGGTCTCAATGTGTTAAAAATGTTCACCCATCCATAGACTGAGCTGGCTAGGAATGCTTAACTTTGCAATGTGTTAACCTATTCGGTTACGACTTAGCCACGAGCCCCACAATACCAGATACCCATAGATGTTATCTTCAATCCCCATGCCCTATCGAATCTCATAATTGAAAACCTTGGAAATTGATAGCTCAGCTGTTCAGCTGTTCTGTGATTATAGATGTAAGGCCGGTTTAAAACCAATTAAACCTATCCGTTTAAAACCGTTTTTTGTCGATTTCAAACGGTTGGTGTTGATGACTATGTTTTTCTTAATTATAACTACATTTTCTTGATTTTACCGAGGTAGATATATGACGGAGTACCTATAAACTGTGTAAAAACTTTATATATACTTAGCGGGGTTAGTTCTAATTGGTCCGTCCGAACAAGCGTAGGTATTTCCTACCTAAGTTATCAAAAATCTATTAAAAAGTTAACAACTCTGTGTTAGTAAATAACCATTTTTTTATTGTTTTCTAACGATGTAAATAATCAATTTGATTCTGTTAAAAACCAAACACACTCTCGCACTCTCTTTGATTCCGTCGGCACCGACGCGACGTCCTTGAATACATAACGTTGTCTCTCTCATGCGCAAGTAAAACGGTCGGCATACTGTTAATGATGTCTTCTAATCTAGTGTGTATAATATAATATAGTAAATAGGTATTGGTTTACATACTTAAGTTGCCGTGTAGTAGGTAGGTACTTTCTATTGATTTTCTATAAACTAATTCAAACGAAACATGACGTCAGGTGACCAAAAATTGCACATAATGAAGTGTAAAACACAGTTCTTTTATTTTTGTAGGCGAGTTTTCCACCGTTTGTAATGATTTATTTGGGGTTTAAAACGTTTTAAATCGGTTGTTTACATCTATATCTGTGATTCTAATTGGGACTCAAATTTTGACAGCTCTGTCTGTCTATCCGTTCGTACGCGATTTAGCTTAGAGACTGTCGGTACTAAAAAGGTTTTCTCTACCAGGGAACTGCATTGCATACAATTGAAATACAATATTAACCTGGCCTATGATCATGTGGGGGTTATCGTTAAGTTAGTGCTCTAAGAACATTGAGGGTATGTAAACTCTATTTCTCGATTTAGTGATTTGCTTCTGAATACTTAAACTTTTAAGTGCTAATAAATATTAAAGAAAAGTATTAGCTACTGTTCTGTTAGATTGATTATTCCGAGAGTAACAGTTGTCGACTTTTACCTATCTCTTCTTCTAAAGTTTCTTATAAAACTTTCGTTACTCTTTGAAAATGTATAAGCAAGCGTAATTGATATATTTTAAGAAAATGGTTGTTTGCTTCGGCTATAATTACTCGTAATTACATGACTAGTCTATTGTCTATCTATGACTATAATCTATGGCAAACGCACATGGTTTCTGAATGTGTCAGTTCAGTTATTGACAGTGACAGTTAACATATGTCAGTTTAAACCATGCTTGATTGTCGTAATGTTGCGGTTCAGTCTTACATTTACTGTTAGCATTATTTTACGCGTAAGAACGAGACAGGATGATGTTAAAGTGCTGGGTAAAAAGAGATGCAAGATTTCTTACGTGTTCCCGTATTAATCGCTTTATGTTGCGAACCAAGCAACGGCATTAGGTTATGTTTTTAGTTAAAAGTTATTGAATTTTTATACTTCGAAGTTTAGTGTAGTAGTTAGTATTCGTGTTAGTGGTATTAAAAGAATATTTATAAGTATAATTGCATACCTATTGCACAATGGCCAAGTTCAAATTGAGTAAGTAATTTACAGTTTACCTTATTAATAGTTAAAATAAATAACGTGCTGTTATTGAGATACTGGTTTACTTTTGATTAAAATGTTATTATAAACTTTATTTTTGTTTGTTGGTTGCCTGACATAAATTTCAGGAAACCAACAAACATGTGACTAGTGTATGTTATATACTATTCAATTCTTACTTACTACTTTTCCAGAGAAACCATCAAAAAGGCAACCCGCTCGTCTCCGCTACAAAATAGAAAAAAAAGTCAGGGACCACAATAGAAAACAAAAGAAGGAAGCAAAGAAGAATCCTAAATCTAAAAAGACAAAACCGATTCAAATTCCTAATGGCTGTCCTTTCAAAGATGATATACTTAAAGAAGTAGAGGCAGTCAAAAAACATAAAGAGGAGGAAAGGCAGAAGAAGAAAGAGCTAGCCAAACAGCAAAAACAAATAAAAATGGAAGAAAAGAAAAATAGGAATACTAGTATGGACACTTTGGTTAGTATTTTATTTGTTAATATCATGCAACAATGCAACACATAACTTTCTCCTCTAAAATAAGAAAATAAATAATCTATCATCAGCTTAAAGCAAAGTTAGGTTAGGTTTACATTTTATTTTTTCCACTACTCCCAAGTCAATGCTTGCAAATCAGTACTTATTTTCATGTGTTGTAAACAACACCACTGAACCACACCACTGGTGTTTCATCTACAATTTTTTTTTGTTAATGACACCACCGTTATGAATTTCTAACACAAAACTTATGCTTTTATTACAATTATTTCTCATTCTGAAGATCACGACCATGGCCTTTTAGAAAAACTCTCCAGAAGTTGTTTTTAAAGATAGCAGATGAAATGATACAATGATACGGTAAAAAAATGAATAGCTATTGTATAATTATCGGATCAGGTTTTATAAATGAATTTAATTGTTTTTTGTTACATAAATTCACAAATGACCCTCTGCCCAACTAATTAAAAAATGGTGTGAATTTCTGTAAGTGGTGTTCGTCTATTCTTTCGATTCTATTTGACTCCTAGTGTCTTATTATTACGATTTCTATGCTGGGAGCTGATCTGAATATGGATATAGAAGGCGGCTAGTCAAATTTCTAAATGGCTACTATGAAGCTACATGCTAGTAAAACCCCTGAGCTTGTGTATAAGCCAGAGGTTTTTGATTGATTTTGACTAATCCAACAGAAAGACAGGGATTAGTTATTATTGTATAGTTTGATGAGAGATCTGGATTGGTAGGTGGTTTACCATTAAACAATGTTTTTAAAAACTATAAATTATATAATTTAAGGTAGCAAATGCCACAGTCAGAGGTAAAGTACATGAAGCATTTAAAGGTGATGAGCCATCGGATGATATAGAGTTTGGTAAAGAACGGAAACAGGAAAATTCTCTTAAGACATATTACAGGGAGTTTAAGAAAGTTATATCTGAAGCTGAAGTTATTTTAGAAGTAGTTGATGCAAGAGATCCTTTAGGTAAGAAACTTTTTTTTATATTTATAATTTTGTTTTTGTATATGGCAATCTTGAAAGTATGATTTTTGTCTAATGGTGGACTTAAATAAATGAAATTTTTTAATATAAAATTCATTCACCATATTTATATGTAATTGAATAGTGTTGAGGTTGAATGGTGTTGCCAGTTTTTATTGTTTTACTGTCTACCTACTTCCTAGAAGCAGAAGAAGTAACTTTAGTGTTAATATATATCTTCAGGTACTAGATGTTCCCAAGTAGAAGAAGCAGTTCGCGAAAGCGGTAAACGTCTCGTCCTAGTCCTCAATAAAGCAGACCTAGTACCTCGTTCAAACCTTGAGGCTTGGCTTAAGTACTTACGTGGAACAGCTCCGGCGGTACCATTTAAGGCATCCACACAAGACCAACAGCATAATCTAGGTACTAGAAAGATGAAGCATGTTATGAAGGAGAAACAAATGAAAGGTGAGACTAACAATTACAATAAACCATTTCTTTTTTTCATACATCACGTAGAGTTTAGATGTACATAGTGCCATCTGTCGAGGGTGGTTCAAACTATTTCGTAAAATTCCGAGTCCTGGCTTGTGCAATGGTTTGTTGTACTTTTTATTTTTGAAATAATTTAATTTAACAAGTATAAATAAGCATAATTTGATTAATACTACGATAATATCTGTGTGAATAAACTAGTAATGTAATTATATAAAAGCTTTGAGAACAGAAGAAGTTTACCTCATCTAATTGAGTAAGTATATCAACACATGTCCAGAATTTATCTTGACCTATCATGGTATCAATAGCCTATAATAAGGACAGCTCAAATTATACTGAACAGTTATAAAAACAGTTTTCATTTAAGAAATGTAAATATTCTAGGGTCAGCTAGCGTTGGCGCTGAATTGCTAATGGGTCTACTAGGCAATTACTGTCGCAACAAGGGCATCAAGACAACCATCACGGTCGGCGTTGTAGGTTTACCTAATGTTGGCAAGAGCTCCATCATCAACAGTCTGAACAGATCCAAAGCTTGTAATGTTGGCAGCACTCCTGGTGTTACCAAGTAAGTTTTTCGGTTTAATGATATATTTTGGCAACCTCTGTAAGTCTGGTTGCATTTTCTGTGTAGTTTCTGTAATTTATATGTGCATGTATATATGTTTATATACATACGCATATAATTGTGTGTATATTATAATACTCGTATATTTTAGGAAACAAAAAAGTTTATTCATGTTTAATAATCCATATTATCTCTTGATGAAAGGTATACTTCGATCTTATTTGTATCCCTGGTCTGTGCAAAGTGTGATGGTCACTGAACGAAGTATGGCAGTGCATCTAATGCAAAGTCATATACATTAATTTTTATATACTTATAGGAATATAGGAATATATAGGAATTACTATCAAGATAATTCATGTTTTGAATTTGAATCACGTATCTATTTTACTCCTAAGACTTAACCTAGGTTTCAATTCCTCAATTTAAAAAAAAAAAAAAAAGTAATAAAATGTCATTGGTCTACTATGACACTTCTACATACTCACCATGCTTTAAAAAGAAATAAGTACCTTCATGACAAAAATTTAACTTGTTTTCTCAGACAAATGCAGACCGTGCAACTAGACTCTAAGATCAAAATCCTAGACAGTCCGGGTATAGTGTTCCACTCGGGGCCTGAGAGCGACTCATCCGTGGCGTTAAAGAACGCGGTGCGCGTCGGTGCCCTCAAGGACCCCATCACGCCCGCCTCCGCCATATTGCAGCGGGCTAGCAAACAGACCCTCATTGAGCTGTATTGTGTACCCGATTTTAATACACCACAAGTGAGTATCTAGTTCAATATTTGCTTTTAGAAGACACATCCAAGTACTAAGTCAGAAATTTCCTGACTACAGGCCAAGAAGTCAAAATAATAGTTTTTATTTTTTTATGCATAAGTGTTACTTGCAACCAAATTGGAAAATGTTGCAAAATCGACATTAATGGACTAAATTAAATTTTACTTTGGTTTATTTTGAATGTAAAATAGTCTCTAAATGTATGCAGGTAGACACTTAGAAATCTTTTTATAAATTAGACAAGACTAAACAGAAGTATTTAATAAAATTATAATAATTATTATCAGTTGTTATTTTTTTTGGGTGGAACACCAAAAACTAGCCATGCCAAAAAATATACATACTTTCAGACATATTTTCTTTGTGGTCGTCCATGTATTTGCTAGTTGCCTAATAAAGAAGTTTGTACATTTACAAAAACTACCAAATAGGTGGAAAATATAACCTGCGTAAAGTTTAATAATCTTTATTTGTTGTACTAGAAACAAAGATAATACCAATGCTATATGTAAATACATTTAAGCCTAGTCATTGCGTTCCATAGGTCTAATCCACATTTTATGGAAAGAATTACATTTCTGGAGAGATGGTTCCCACAACTTGCCAAAATGTATTTATTATCACTACAAGGTCTCCTCCTGAAAGCTGTTATTTGTAAAGGATCTGCAATTTGTCTACTATAAATCTAAAGATAAAATGGGAAAATGTTTTTTTTTTCAGGAATTCTATGCGCACCTGGCATCTCGCATGGGCAGGTTCAAAAAGGGTGGTGTGCCGGACCAGGAGGCGGCTGCTAGGATACTTCTCAATGACTGGAACACTGGCAAGGTAAGAATATTTATTGACACGTGGGTGAGCTATGCTTCGGCATATTTGAGCAGGCTTAACGGTGGTGCTGGACCAGTTTTTTTATGGTGTCTAAGTCACGGTTGACATTGATTATAGCTTGATCTAAAATTTCTACTCTCGCATGTGAGTAGATCTGTAGGTCGTCTGCATATAGGTGATACGAACACTGAAGTTCGTGAGTTATGAAGTCGATGAATAGCGAAAAGAAAACCGCCTTGTGGAACACCAGAGTCATGTTCGGCCACTATCGATGCAGATTCAGATTGCTGGCGTTTTCAAAGATAGGGTGAGAACCATTCCAGTGCATCGTCGGAAACCATGAAGTGGGAAAGTATTGTTATTAGGATACCGTGGCTCACGGTATTGATGGCGTCTGAGAAGTCGATTGCTGCTACTACAGTTATTTTGCCTTCTTCTGCCTTTGCCTTGTTCCTATACTTTGTTCCGGTAGGTCGGAGTTCTGACTGATACTCGTTAAGCAAGTTGTTCAGGTAAATAAAGTGAGAATGTTGCTTACGTATGCAGGCTTCGAGGCCCTTTTGAACCGTTGAAAGTTGTATACAAACATAAATCACTATAGCTTGCTTGAAGCACGGTACAATTATAATACAGTAGTGTAACTCGGCCGCATTATAGAAATAAATGCCTACAGCCGCGCGGTACGTAAACATGCGTTAGGGCTGCCCGTCTCCAGCATTTTAATTATATTTGCCTACTTTCTGTTTCTATGATTTGTGATTGTAAATATCCTTTTTATATAAATAAATGAAATACTTTGTAAATTGAATAGGAAGTGTTCAATAAAAATCCGTGTTGTTTTTTGATTCACTCCCTATAAATTTTAATACACTACCTATTTCACTCGTCTCAATAACTTTCCGTTACTCTATTTGCTTTATTTATTAATCCAAACACCTTTTTTTCGTGAGATAAAAGGAAATACTTATCCATTAAAAAGACACACATTATGTACCTACCTACTAGTAAGTAAAATTATTTTATAGTCTTACCTTTCAGAGTTTTCAGGTAATTTAAAAAAACTTATGTCTGGATGCGTTATTGACGAATTCATACAACCAAAAACAGCACAATATTTCCTACTCGTCATATTAACTGATTTTTAGAGAAAAAATCGCGCGGTTATTGTTAAAAAAACAACACACAGTCCGTTCAACACTGCGGCACAGCCGCGACTGTCTGCGCCCCGAGCGCACCCCGAGATCGAGGCGCGTAGGTATAGCTCGCGTTTCGTCCGTTTGTATGAAGTTGGAGTACTGTATTATAATAGTACCGTGCTTGAAGATTAGTGGAAAGAACATTATTACTTAACATTATTAATGGCAAGAACATTATTAATTATGAACAAAGTTACAAAAAAACATGCAACTGTAAAGTAGGTCAGTTTAAGAAAAATATTGATTTCAGAACGGTCGTAGATCAGTGGGCCAAGTGCGAGTTTATTTCACTTCTACTCGATCGTCACGGTGACCGCGTTCGGCGCTACGATTGGCCCGCGCTGAAATCTCCACCAATCGCAACGCCGAACGCGCTCGCTGTCGAGAGCGAGTTGATGTGAAATGAACTTGCACTAGGCCCGCAGTACGAGAATTTACGTGAACACGGAACACATCGATTACAAAGCTCTTCTTATAAACTTCAACTGACTTATTACTTGTTGTGATAAGTCACATTGTAAATAATGTGAAAACAAGGTGGGTAGTAAAAAGAAAACTATGCAGAATGAGCTTAGGAAATTGATTTTAGAAATACTGAACACTAAGGAGACCTAGAAGTTAGTTTCCACGGGTTGTGTACTTGGTTATATTGGGCGTGAAACTTCGTCTTTGTTGTACAAGCCTCGTCGGCTGTTTGTGGATGTTTCTGCATTAAAGGTTCCAGTTCAGCAAGCGACGGATCCTTATTTCTTTTTATTTTTCTGGAACAATTTATTAATTCCGTTACCAGTGACGCCACCCGTGTCAAACTACTCGTCTTTAACTTAATACTCAAATTATACTCAATTTCCCAAAGCGAGTTAGTTATACGTAAAGTAATTTTAATTAGACAGAGCATGTGCTCTGGTAACCAGATTGCTGATAAACATACTTCAATATTTCTAAATACATACATATTTGTAGACAAATTACACCCAGACACAAAACAAATGATCATGCTCATCACACAATTATTTAACTTGGGTGGGAATCGAACCCACGGTCTCTGGCTTAGCAGCCAGTATCACCAACTATTTGGCCAATAGGCCAGTCTGTCTATAACTATTATAATTATGTTGATTAAATACGTTGTTTATTATTTCTAGGTGAGATACTTCACAGTACCGCCTGAGATCCCCGAAGCTGACGTAAACGTTGATGCAAAGATCGTGCCAGCCTTCGCCAAAGAGTTCGACATCAACTCGTTCGAAGCCATGGAGACAGAGGCCATCAACGAGCTTGCGACTCACGATACTGGAATTGAGGCTATTAAGGTAAACTTAAAACCAAACTTCTTTATTAATTAAGGTTACAATCTGACACTTATATACGTAAAAAGTATTTAATATTTTCAAGACGAGTTAATACATGTAAATAAATGTGGCTGGCTGGGTGCCTTACCCTGGCAGATAATCATAGTGCGTAACCGAAACGATTGCCATAAGGTCAACAATACGTAAACCCCTCTAAAAGTACAGGTGACCACTTGTCATTTAAGATTTTAAGCATTCCATGTCATGGGGCAGGTCCTAGATATCATTTTTGTCCAAAAAAGGGCGCCTGAGGCCGGCCATCAGTGCTGTTTTTAAGGGAGTCTCCAAGGAGTTGAGATCCTAAGGGATTTTCCACCCATCAACTAAAAAACGAAACACATTTTGCCGTACCGTACCTTGTTTAATATTCATAGAATTTTAATATCCTCAGATATGTGTGTATCCTCAATATTCACAAAAAAATTATTACTTGCTTGCCCTATATATTTATTAAACTATATTCTGTAAAAATAAGGCCAAAGAGATAAGTATTACATGGCTTACTGAAATAATTATAATATAACCTTTGCCTAAATACCTACATTTCTCATCTTACCAACTTTAACCATCCGGTTATAGGCAATAGGGACGGTACACCCCACAGATTACCCCCTAATAGATTCCGCATTATTGAATATTGGTCCGATTCGAGCTCCAAATTTGGCGGAATGCAAGGGTTGCAGGTGACGTGTCAAATGCTCTGTGATTGGATATTACAAAGTCAAACATAATGATGATCTGAATTATTGATATTTATTTTATTCTTGATTTATTGATTATTGATAAATAATTATATCGATCAATGTTTATTTGATATTTATTAAAAAAATAAAACAATTTATATTATATATTTATGTTCTTGTGAAAAGTGATACAAGTACAAAATCAATACAAGAACAAAAACAAGATTTAAAAATTCTAGTTCGCAATCTAAGTGGGCTAGGTTAAATTATGATATCTTCTTTTGTAGATTCGTCATTTTTCATTAGACAAAGACAACTATTGTAATTTACGTAATGAGTGAAAGGGACATTCCAAAAAGACGTCAACAGGTGCTTAATTGTTATTACTTTGCACCATTATAAATTGAACTCCGGTGTATTTGAAATAGGTTAACGTGATAAGAATATAATTTACTTACCGATGAAATGTTATACCATCTTTTTGATAACTAGATGTCTTAGCTACTTACTGTCTTACTACTTGCCACACCATTTCACAGGGCAGGAAGCCATTTCTAATATATTTTAATAACAATTAGGTACTATTATTAACTATTTTAAATCGTCAAGAACTCGGACGTGCGTACGGGTCACGTACTTTGTCGATACTAATGTCGTGATTCTTATAGGGCAGTGGCCCCGTGTGCGGAATCTATTAAGGGAGAATCTCTGGTACACCCCTATGACGTGAGTGAAATTAAAATAAAGGTCGTCAAATTGTTGACGTTTGGTACAACTTCTGCCTACCCCCTCCAGAATAAAAGCGTGATTGTATATCTGTGTTACATATATACCATGTACACTGCCTGTTATCTATTCGTATATTTATTTACATTAAAGCAACAACCTATGAAGTCAATACAGGAAATAAGATAGGTAAAATTTTATTACTGTCGGTTTACGTGTATTAATAAATATATAGTCACTGCACTGTGTTACATATGTATATGGGTAAAAATTTAAGTATATCAGTGTGTGTGTGTGATGATTTTAAAGTATGCTGTAGGCCCCTTTCGTATCTTGACGATTCTTCTATGTAACGATTGTCTTTGAAAAACTCATAATTTTGTTTCTTCAGAGAAGTTTGATCTAGTTACTTCCAATATTGCAATATTTTTACTTTTTAATTTATATCTTAGAAAATAAAAATTGAAAATTTATTTTAATTACGGTGTCATCCCCTGTCTCACATTCCCACATATTCCCAGGCGTTGCCCCATCTATCACGCGTTGGACCCGGCACCCGCATGGCGAATCCATGGAACGCTAAGAAATAGGTCTCAACCAGGATTTAGGGGTGATAAACAAGAAGCCAACAAAAGTCTTTAACAAAGTTATAATTAGAAAAAACTTTTGAAAACAAATTTAAGTTCAATAAACACTTACAGGAAAAAAAAGGTCGAGTAGAGGCTGTTTTAAAGCATTATAAAGTCTTAAATAATTATTATTTAAGACTATATTCCAATAATTTAAAATAAAAATTTCGATATTATATAAATACAATTTTGTTTAAAAACAGCGTGGAATTGAAATTGTTTTTTTTTTTAAATTTCTTTTTGTTTTGTATTGTTATCGGTTCTTGATACGTGCAAATGAAGCTACTTCACATATTTTTAGCTACAAAGTGTCTTAGGTTGTAATAATGACATACTAAAAATGTTTTAAATATTATCCATACTTATATGGCTTCCATCCATTTTCTCATCCAATACTAAGTGTCCGGTGGCAATAGGCCAGCCTTACGAAAGCGTGATTAACATTATAGTCGTCAAGCTAGCTGTGTAATAATATATAATACGCCTCTGCTCATCCCTTTAGAGAAATAAACGTAACTGTATGCTGCTTCCTCAAATCTCAATATATATTTTTTGTTCTAGATATCAAGTACAGGCCCAGTGAAAGCAGCTTTAGGAAATGATATGCAAGTTGACGAAGAAGACTCAAGTATATTGCCTAAATCAGTCAATATAAGGTCGAAACTGGACAAAGGACGGAAAGCGAAAGAGAAGACTAAAGGCGACCCAGAAATGCAACTTGAAGGCAACACTAAGCAGAATAAATTAAGAAAAACGCAGTTCAAGAAGGACAAAAAGAAAAAGGCGAGAAATGAAAAGCAGGCTGCAGGCCTAGCTAATATATTAGAAAATGTCACTCTTAGCACTTTCAAGAAACAAGTTGCAGCTTAAAAGATAATTTGCTTCAACAATAATTATGAGATTGTAACTGACCAAAAAATGTAATGGAGCCAATTTTATGTGTTTCATAGATACACACATACAAACCAACGTGTCCTGTCATCAGATGAATTTATTTTCTCTTCACTTTGATGCATCTGTTCTATCAAATATTAAATTTATTAAACTAAAGTTAAGACGGTAATACGGCATAAATTTGGTCCCATCCGATTTTAAAGAAAAACTTGTTATAGTTTACAGTAGCTTGAAAATTGATATGTTATCATTGTACTATGTTTACCTACCAAGCTGTGGCTAATAATAAATGTGTCAATTTTAACATTTTCGTTTAATTAAGATATGTCTTTCCTTAATTAATGTAGATAATTGTATCGTCATAAAAATAAATAAATGCAATAAACTGTGACAAGATAGCTTTTAACAGTTAGGTTAGACAAAAAAAATAGGGTACTTGCCGGGGAAAACAGATTGACTTGTGGAGGATTACGTCGGGGTCACCACTGTGGAGGAACGGGTGTCATGTCCCTCCAACACAGAGGGAGGATCCTACGACTAGGCGAGGTGATCATGCCTGGCGGGCCACGGCCCAATGATTGATGTTGGGAAGTCATATGCTAATCGCCGTGAGAATTATTCACATCGCGATAGAAGATTAGCAGTTTCTCCGTAGTTCGATGTGTCTTTGTTAGATGGCGCTGTAGTATGTTTCTGTGTGTGGAAGTCGCCACAGACTAATCAGCCATTTTTTCTTGAGTGACAGATTTGTCTTATCATCTTATCTTTACGGGCAAGCAGAAACCATATAGAAAGTTTATCGGTTCTTAGGCACGGCCAAGGAGCTTACTTAAACCCTATGCAGTAGTAGAAAGAGAAAGGAGATAACTACAAAAAATTGTGACTTGTGTGGAAACACCATCATCTCAAAGGTATCAACGGCAAGGTGGTATTTAGGACTTGAGCCGAGCGGAAAACTAGTATAAAGAATGGAATAGATATCCTCTACATGCCGAAAATGTTGTGTTAAATGCCGCAATACTACATACTTGAATTTCAGTCGTGCCCCAGTGTGGGTCTCAAACCTCTAGCCTCATGAACTTTGCTCCTTACTGATCCCATACCTCTTAATTATCCAATACTTATTAGGTTGGGTTATGTCGTACTTGAACCGACCAAAAACCGCACGGCGTCTCGGGCACTCGCAGCCGGGGAACCAGGTGTATGGAGAACATAAGTTAAATATTTATGCTACCAATGTGTCAAAGAAATACCTACTGGATCTGATAATAATAATCTTTTTTTTTTCCGTGTGGAGACCCCCTCGGGCCGTCACCCCACCGGGGTTTACGGCGGGGTGGTGTGTGATAATAATAACCTAACCTAATCCTTTAAAACCTTACAAAGCATACATAACTGTATTTAATTACAATTTTAATTTTTAATCATAGAAATCGTGCCAATCAGCCGGCTCATAGTCGAGCAAAAATCTAAGTTTGTACTTCTAACAGGAATAGTACTTACAATATACTAATTACTTGCAATAAAAGTTAGTTACCAAGCGTTCGCAATAGGTACATGGCCAACATTTTAATCACCATTGGACGTTAAATATATTATTATAGATAGTACTGTGATCATTAAAATAACCAACACTGCCAAGCGATAATGGGATCCCTATCAAAGTTAATGCTTTTATTAATTGGCGTGTTGTGGAATCGGAGAATTTAGTAGTAACTGACGTGGACTAATTAATTTACACCAAATATGAGTACATACAATGTTGTAAAAACAAATACGAGTATAACAAAAGTATAGTAGATAGTTATTATACAAAAAGGCAAGATTTGTTATTGAACTAAATAACTACTCTTGCTCCGAGCTTTTTCCCATAACTAGTTTGTGGTTGGCTCTAAGTCCGATTCTTTACGCGGAGCAACTCGCGTCAGACTTCCACAACCCAACTACAAAAATCAAAATTCTGTAGAAAGACCTTTTTAGGGTTCCAACTACAACCGTAACGATTGCCACAGATATTCGTATAGCAACCAGGACTGTTAGGTCTCAATGTGTTAAGAATGGTCACCCATCCATAGTCTAAGCTGACTAGGATTGCTTAACTTTGCAATGTGTCAACCTACTCGGTTACCACTTAGCCACGAGAATTACGGAACTACTGAACTGATTTTAATACTTCTTTTACTGTTGCAAAGCTTCTGTCTGCCCTTGGGGGATAAAAGATGTGAGTGTTTGTATCTCTGTATGTAAGTACTATACTTAGATCTTCATTAATAATAATAATAACTTTACACATCTCACACACGACCGTCTGATCCCAAATTAGACAGAGCCTGTGCTATGGTAACCAGACCGCTGATAAACATACTTATATATTGTTAAATACATACATATTTTAGATCTTCATTCATTACAAAAATAACCAAATTGAGGAAAATTATGCTTTTTAGGAACTGAACATGTATTGTGTTTCTGGGCTATGTCGATTAATCATGATTGAGTTTCTTTCCGTCCGGAGAAATGTTATCACAACTCAGTGTCTATATTTAGCGGTCAACTCAAATTACAGGTCAAATTATCAGTTCTACGATTATTTTTATTTCAGAACAAATATTGAGAAATACGTGTTGATATAATGCTTATCATTTTCTCAAAGTTTTCTGTAGTGTTATAAAATCCACACCAACACGCGATTGGGTAAAAGCGAAAGCCTCAATTGTATGCAATCCGCTAGACACGCTGGCGGCGGTAGCCACTTACCATCTTCATCATCAGGTGACAGGTCTATTCGTTTGCCTCTATACCAAAAAAACTTACCCGACGCGGGACATCGCCAGACACGAGATATCGAAATTATTTTATGTCTAGTAACTATATTGCCACACCGCATTACACGTTATATATACTCGTACTATCACATAGCGTAGCGACGCGTCGCCACGCCTACGGCAAGTTAAATCTCTGCGTTAAATGCTTCACATAAAAAAAAAGTACCAGGAGTGTTTGTAGACATTATTGATCGTTTACTCGCTTATGGACAAATCCTTACTTAAACAAAGTGTTGTAGGTAGTCGCATACCAACTTTAGTTTATAAAAATGAAAACGCAATCTGCGTAATCGTAAGGGTTCCAGTTAAGGATTTGATATTAAGACAATATTATGTGACGTTGGCATTTTATTCGATTTTCTTCGTACAAATAACGGAAATAGCTAAGTATCTGTTCCAACGAAGTAAGTTCCTCTATATTAATGTTTACAAACAAGACTTGAGACGGAGTGATCTTTGAATAGGGATTTGTTTGATGGTGGAATAAGCCGACAATCTACAACTCCAAGTTCTACTCGTAAAACGTTTTCATCGCATATTTTGCGCAATTGATGCAATCTCAAAATCATCTTATGCTTTTGCCAAATTCATTTTGGGGTCTCGGCGCAATCTATATAAATTAAAATGATATGGTATTTATTGGTAAACGTCCCATCTCTTTTTTTTTAAATATATTAGAGGGGGCAAACGAGCAGATGAGTCACCTGATGGCAAGTGACTATCGCCGCCCATGAACGTCTGCAACTCAGGAGTTACAAACGCGTTGCCGGCCTTTTAGGAAGGAGTACGCCTTTTTCTTGAAGGTTTGAAGGTCGTATCGGTCCGGAAATACCGCAGACGATAACCCGTTCCACAGATTGGTTGTGCGGGGCAAAAAGTGTCTCGAAAAGCGCCCAGTAGTGGAGCACCAACTATCCAGGTAATGAGGATGAAAATTTTGCCGTGTGGAACGATGGCGGAAATTTGCGGCTGGAATTAGTCCCAACAATTCCTCGGAGCACTCTCCATGATATATGCGATAGAGAATGCAGAGTGAAGCCACATCTCTACGTATCTCGGACGTTTACCAATAAATACCATATCATTTTAACACCCAACCCCCTGATCCGCCTTTAGTTAGACCATACAGTTGCTTTTATTATCTAAATAAATTATAGTTCACAATATGTAATAAAAAAGTAATTAGTAGTAGTAATTATTATTTTAATTTTTTTGGTTATTCTAACATGTTTTTTCACTATAATTTCTTTTCTTACTTTGTAGTTTTGTATTGTGATCAATAATTGAAATGAATTCAAATTTACTTTAAAGTATACTATTTCGTAAAAATGTGGATAGAGGTTAAACTACTATAAAGCTGTTAAAAACAACTTACCAACACCACTGCTTACTTCACTTCAATTACACAATGAGTCAAATGATCCGTGACGTAGTGAGATAGTAAGAGAATTTAGTAGTAACTGACGTGGACTAATTAATTCACACCAAATATAAGTACCTACATAAAATGTTGTAAAAACAACTATACTAAAAATATAGTAGATAGTTATAATACAAAAAGGCAAGCTTTGTTATTGAATTATGGAACTACTCTTGCTCCGAGCTTTTCCCCAAAGTAGGTTGGGGTCGTCTTAAGTCTACTACGAAGCGGCTGAACAGACTCCACAACCCAAGTACTAGGCGATATCAAAATTCTGTAGAAAGACCTTTTTAGGGCTCCAACTAGACCCGTAACCATTGCCACAGATATTCGTATGGCAACCGGGACCGACGGGTTAACGTGCTCGCCGAGTCACAACGTCTCAATGTGTTAAGAATGGTCACCCATCCATAGACTGACCTGGCTAGGATTGCACAACTTTGCAATGTGTCAACCTACTCGGTTACCACTTAGCATCACATTATGGAACTACTGAACTGATTTTAATAATTCTTTTACTGTTGCAAAACTTCTGTCTGCCCTTGGGGGATAGAAGATGTGAGTGTCTGTATCTCTGTATGTAAGTACCTATACTTACAGGTGGGCACGTCTTCATTCAGCACAAAAATAACCAAAGTGAGGAAAATTATGCTTTTTAAGAACTAAAAATGTATTATTTCCATAGGATATGTCGATTACCACTGCTTACTTTAATTCTATTACAGAACGAGTCAAATGGTTCGTGACGTAGTGAGGTAATAATTGTCTGATTGATCTGGAATTAAGTAGGTACTTAGTTTTAGACTTCAGACTTCAGGTAGTACCTTGATGACTAATTTTGCTTGTTATCACTTTATTCGCAGACTGCATTCTATCGGAGAAGTTTCGATGGAGAGTGCATTTTTGAACCCATGCATATACCTAGTATAGCTATATTGTTAGTAAGTATAACGGGTGACGTTGATTTTGTGTCAAAAAATATTGGCTTACCCAATAGCCAAAACTTATCTCTCATTTTTCCATGGAACTTGCAAGGGGAGTGCACGGCATAAGTATATAAGCATCGGGGTGGGAGAAAGCCGACCGTTAGCTTATGACGATCATAATTAAAAATAATTTGACGTAGGTACTGTTTGTCTTTCAGTGCAAAAAATATAATTAATATTAGATCTCTCTCATAAACAATTGAATCTCTTAAGAAGTAGGGGAAATGAGTGGGTACATTTCTCGAAAAAAATAAAAGACTGTATTTTTTTTTTTATTGTTTGACAAAAAAGACATTGTGTAATTATTATTTTTTAATTGGTTGACAATTTAGCACGAACCGATAGTTATTTAAATCGGCCTTGCACATCCTAGAACAAGTCTGTGGAAGGGGTAAACATGACAATTGCAAAATCGTGTTCACTGCGTACGAACATAAGTATGTCTTTAATTTTAAAGATAAGATAAGAACAAGCTATGTTGGACAATGACACGCTACACGTATGATAAGTACAAATGCAGCTAGTTTATCTTTTTTCTACATTTAAAAACCTTGCCCGCATTATCTAAATACATATTAAATTATAGTTTTTTATCATCCCCATAATCTCTATGCAAAGGCTGTTATTAGCCATAATTTAAGGCTGACCATGAAAATTGTACACAAAAAACAATTATCTATGTATATCTTCTGTCTGTCGTATTTATCTATTCATATCTATAATCATATTTATTTTACTCTATTAAAAAGATAACGATAATAAGTTATCAATTCCTTAACTGACCTATATTTAATGGCTTTTATATCCAATTGTATGAATCTGACATTTTCCATTTCAATACTAAATTCTATTTTAAAAAACTAATTCAAATAAAAAAGAGACGTGTTATTATCCAGAAAATGTATTTTATTAACATCTGACTATCTTTGTATCTGTGTATTTAAACATTCTTTCATTATTTAAAACACAACCTTGTTTTTTTTAACGTCGATTAAAAAAAATGTGGCGAGATTAACAGATTATAATATATAAACTAATTTTTTTACATAAAATATTGTTTTTTTTTAATGTAATAAGTCTATTGTCTATTATCAGTTTTTTAATTTATGTAATTGGGTTGGTATGTTAATTGGGTCCCCAACGGCTTTGTAACAAGCATATTGTAATTTTAACTAACTTTACCGGGTAAAATGGAGACCTAGCAATAAAATTGGAAAATTAGTCAGTAAGAATAATTTGCTGAGATCTCGGTTTGTAATAATATAGGGGGCATTTCACGAGAGATCATATTAAATGTGTCATAGTAGGGGTGTGGCACAACCCCCTTATTTCAGGTCGTATTTCACGTTATTCTTCTCAATCTAGACATTAGAAGCTTTATATTTATAGATACATTCTTAGTGAAAGAACTCTTTAATAAGTAATTAAACGATAAATTTTGCACCATCGAATCAAACTGGAAGCAACATAATGTACGATCGTGCTGCGAACTTGATAATATGGAAATTAAAATATATACCTATCCAATCAACTAAATAAATTATCAATGTATTTTTCATACCTATTTACATTTAAACAATTACGTACAATTAAATGAAATAAATATAATGAAGGTACATACTATGTACGTACGTACCAACCTAACAAGATAAAACAACTAATGTAAAATGTCCACGACTTGGTTAATCCACGTTACAACCGCACTAGCTTTCCTTTTCTTACTAAGGAGTTCGTATATTTTCCTTTCCTTCTGATGCCATGTGCAATAGTGATTGGTGGTATTTGAAAACATTTTTCAATTAATTAAAAGCAAATTTTTCAATGATCCATAACTAAACTTTCATTATCTCAGTAAAAATAAATTTTCAATAGAATTGTTTTATTCCATTTATTATAACAGAATCGTACATTAGTTAATATATAATGTTGGTTATTATGTAGTAGTAAAGAAGAATATCTACGGTTTCAATATTCGTATTTTCCCGCTTATTGAATCATTAATGTCGTGTAGTGTGTTCAATTTCTATTTGCTACTTGTCCACCAATGGTAGGTTTCCATCTGTCTGCGTAATTTTATGTAAAACGTCAAAGCTTTTTGTTGATTTCCCTTTCGCACCTACTAGAATGTGCACTTCTCTAAATATTTCTTTCTCACGTCCACATTTCGTAATACTATTACGTATTTTTGTTGTCTCTTTTCAACTAGAGAACTTTGTGTTGAACAGAGTGAGATACTGTATCCGTGAAGCTCACTAACCGGTCGAAGTAATAATAGTGAATACGCCGAAATTTCAAGTTATTCGTGGCCAGTCCTTTGCGAACGGAGGTGGTTGTGTGAATCAAAAAAAATGAATTCCCTTGTGTTAGCTGTTGTCAGTTTACTGGCATTAGCATCAATAAATTGTGAAGTGTTCTTCGAAGAGAAATTCCTCGATGGTAAGTTGTAAATATTTTATTTAAAACTGACTTTAGAACTGTGCCGGCTTGCCGCGTGTGCTATCGATCGTTGGCCAGTAGCCGGTTGATTTTGTGACAACTGTGTTAAAATGGTATATTTTTCATTTCAGACTCTTGGGAAAATGAATGGGTATACAGTGAACATCCTGGCAAAGAATTTGGCAAATTCAAGTTGACTGCTGGAAAGTTCTTTAACGACCCTAATGAAGATAAAGGTAAGTGAAGGCGGCACGGCCCCTTCCAGAACAAACCATTACATTCACATTTTAAACTTAAATAATTAAACTTCACCATCTGTCATTAAAAAAAAAACTGTGTGAATACGAATTGCCTAATAAAGTATTTTGTACTATAAAGTTTATTGAACCTAATAGCACATTCATTGCAATAAATACTAGTCCCGGCGTAACCGTATCGTAACGAAGCTTGCCTAGCTCTCGTGCGTACCTCTCAACATATATTTTCATGATATTTCTCAGGTCTGCAGACGTCTGAAGACGCCCGGTTCTACGCCCTATCGCGCAAGTTCAAGCCTTTCAGCAACGTAGACAAACCCTTAGTGGTTCAGTTCACCGTAAAACATGAACAAGACATTGACTGCGGAGGTGGATACGTCAAGATCTTCGACTGCAAGTTGGACCAGAAGGATATGCATGGCGAGAGTCCCTACGAAATCATGTTTGGTCCCGACATTTGCGGACCTGGCACTAAGAAGGTTAGTCCCGTAATTGTTTGATTTACAAAATACACAAATTGTCAATACAAAATCAGACTATTGTGTGTGATGTTTATGAAATAAATAGTCTGTTGTTTAGTTTTGATCTGTTTCGAGTTCATAAAACAATAATCAGTCAAGTTAATTTGTATCCAATTAGAATCATACCTTTACCCTGCGCGCTAGAAGGAAGAACTGTTTATAGAATGTATGTATGTATCTTTAGCACGCTCTGTAATCTAAACTACTTGATAGATTTCGGCTTAGACGAGCTAAGACGAATCTAACGACAATTCGTTAGATTCGTCTTAAAAGTGAGCGACTATATGAAATATTAAAATGGCCGGTTTGACAATTATAAACATCTATCCATACTTTTTTAATCAGTCGCGTTTTTGTTATTTTTCATAGACTATCTATCTTTTTAAGAGACTCTTATAGGAACGTATTAGAACTAATGATACCATTAACAAAACCAAAAACAACACGTTCCTAAACCATAAAACATGTTTTACATACAATAAATCATTATATGTATTTAAAAAAATATAAGTTCTAATGACACACTAGTCATTGCCAGATCGTTGTCTAAATTACCCACGCGCAGCGCGAGTACAAAGCCATACAATTTCCATTGAATATTTTAACAAATAGGTTTATATAGACCAGGGATTCAGAAACTATTTTGAGCAAGAGACCCCTTTTCAAAAAATTTTCAAATGAACAAATACCTCAAACTCCCAAAGCAAAATGACTGCATGCTTATCGACGATTTTTTTAAAATTACAACAATGAAACCTACTAAAATATTAGTCATTCTTATAAAAAGTTTGTATACGTAACACAACTAATGCTGTATCTTGAAAGGTTCAAATAAGAACTTGTGTTAATTAATCTTGTCGACCCCTAAAATCAGTTTTCGTTTACGCCGACCCCTGGGAAACCGATTTCGACCCTAAGGTTAACATTGATAGGAATTATAAGCGGTATCAAATACACTGCACACAAATTATGCCTGTTTATAACAATATTTCTGATAACCTGGCATGCAGGGTTGCAGTTGACTGTTATATCAATAAATAATAATATCAACTCATTTATGTCTATACACACCGATTATAGTACGTATGTAGTTAAATAATCCGATATTGATACGAAAGCGCGGTAGGGTCATACTTCGGCACATCCCGGCTCGGACTGGTGTGATACCAAAAAAAAACCGTTTTAACCAATGATGTTTTAAAGAAGATATGTTATATTCATACTGCACTCACAAAATATTGGTTCTGTATAACTGTACCATTATACATATATTAATGCATTTTAGAAGGAAACATCGCTACAAGTGCGATACGAAATAGGAAAAGCTTAAGAGTGAAAGAGACAGCTATTTGTAATCAGTACAGCGACAGAAGGCATTTTATGTTTTTTTTCGAAATTATTAGTACGTGCGCGCGCTTTTTGTGGTCCTAAAAAGAACGTCACGTTTCAAGCGATTCTTTCGTGCCGTTACCGTAGCCTAAGCCTCCACCTCCTTGTTTTTTTTTTATTTTTTTTTTCTTCCGTGCGGAAATCCCCTCGGATACCACCGGTGGCATGTCGGACTCGAACCGACTAAAACCGCACGCCGTCGCCGGGTACTAATAGCCGGGGAACCAGGTATACCCTAGAAAGGAAGTCCCTGGTGAACCTCCACCTCCTCCTGATTCTAAGGGAAGAAGACTCGAAGGGCGGCAATACGCTTGTGACTATAAATTGCAGTTGACCATGGGCAGCGGTAATTATTTACCATCAGGTGACCTGACACTCGTTTGCTACAGGAATGGTAAAGTTTAAACATTCAAAAGAAATATTAATATTCTTAAACCTATAAAAGTACGAGTTTGCTTTCCAAATGGCGCGCTACACAATTAGTTAAAATTTAAGCAATACTAAACCGGTTTTATTTTTAAATTGTAATGAAATGAATATGTAACTCGTCGTTTTTTTATGTAACCACTTCTACTAGGTATTTTTTTATCTTAGTCATAACCGTTTGGTGGCTTAAGTTTAACTGTCGTAGTTTACGAGGCGATGTGATAACGAACTACTTACCATCAGCCAATCAACTACATCCTTTTTGCTATGATATCGTAATGCTGCACTAAAACCTGTCTTTAAACTACTTACATTTTTATTAAGCAAATCGTATTTTGTACTACTGTAAACTACTGTTGTACTTGTTCATAAGGAATACCATAAACTCTGCGTGGTCGAATTTCGGCTAATAAATCATGAAGTTATTTTTTCTGTATTTCATTAAAAAAGTTTTTGCAAAACGTGAGAGATCATTATTAGTGAACACTTGTAGTTTAACCGATAACCGTTTAGCCGATTTCAAGCAATTTTTGTAACAGGAAAAGGTGGTTTGTTTAAAACACTTCAGATTTCTGCATTCCATTTCGGCAAGCGATTTTTTTTTAAAAAGCGTGTATAGAATTGTCTTCGCGAATTAATATTAACCAAAAATTATATTATTCTCCTTTTACCTAATAATTCTTTCTCATACTGCACGCACAAAATATTTGTTCTGTAAAACTATACAATCGATACATAATAATTAATGCATTTTAGAACAAAACATCGCTGTAAGTGCGATTGGAAATAGGGAAAGCATAAGAGTGAAAGAGACAGCTATTGGTAATCAGGACAGCGACAGAAGGCATTTGCATTTTACTTCTTGGAGTATATTATTATTTTATTCAGTAGTTTTAAATTCGAAATCTTTTTTAAAAAATCTTAAAAGGACATCCTGCTCTGTAAACTCTGGAAACATGATAGTAACTCCCTATGTGGTGTTTGGGCAGTTTTAAAATAAAAAAATAAAAAAAGTAGGTATACTTAGTGTTGTTACTTGTCTATTCGTAACTCATTTCGAATGACAACGGCTGAAGCATTATCTTCATGTTATTGTTACTGCAATGTCCGATAAATTGCCATAGATTGCGTGATCGCGAACAAATTCCTATTTAATTTCTCATGAGAGCAATTTACACTGAAAACCATGTCAGATATAAATATAACTATGTATTTCGACTCGTTTCCACATATCAATATACTCGTATTATCAGACGTTTTACGAGTGCTGGAAAGAGTTTTACTTCTTGTTATTCTAAAAATGTGGGTAGTTAAAATAAAAATGCTACGAGTCTTCACTTAGTGAAAGCTTGACAAAAAATTATACATTAATCTTTAATATTATATTATTTTAATTTTGCAGTTAGGCTCTTGACTAACAAATATGGTTTGATAAGTTATATAATTGTGAAGCAAAGTTATGATTACAAATATGAAATATTAATCAGATTTATCACTAGCCTTTATTTATAATCTTTAATTAAATTAATCGTTTCTTCGAAGGAGTATAAAATAAGACAGTAACTGGCATAAGCTTTTTTTGCAGGCTTTTTTAAAATTGTTTAAACATAGTTACCTAAAGACTAATATATATTCGAGTTTAAGTGTGTTATTAGCAATTACAAAAACAAAAAAAAACATTATTTTATGTAACAATTGTACAAATATGAAATATACGGCAGCAAGTACTTACAAGGTCGAAAGATACATGTTTTATTCACGATTAAATTAACATTAAGGCTTAACAATAAAAGGAGTATCTATTTTTAATTCTCAATTTAAAAAAAATACTTGTGTAAAATAATAGTTTTTTGGCAACCCTCTGAGAGAGGCCTTGAAAGAAATCATAAAAGTAATAGAAATCGATAACAATAATCAGTATTCCCTAGCGTGGAATAAGATAGTTATCGATTTAGCGTTTTCTCAACAGTTACGATAGCATTTTTATAATGACACGACGAAACGGAGATCGAATAAGGCATTAAAATCGAAACTGAAGGAAATTGCATAAGTCAGCTTTGCGTCTGGCCGATTTCACGCGGTTCCTATTGTCCGTTCGTAACAATTAAACGCACCGGCTTCACTAATTGTTTTCATTATTTATTGCATGAGCAATTAGGTGTACAAAATAAATTATATATTCTGGCGTCATAAAAGTGAAAATTTGATTTTAAGTGTGAATATTTTAACTCGGCACCATTAAAAGTGGCGTGAACAACGTAACTGTCACATTTAAGTATACCTACACAGTTTGATTGGAGAAATACTGATAACGCATATGTCTCTATCTGACTGCAGCTGCAATTCTCGTCTCTCAAAAGATAGAAATAAACCCTTAATTTAGGTCTTTTTTGCTCCAGCTTGGCAAAATATTTATAATAGCTGACCATCACAATTTTGTCTAAGACTCTCAAAAACTAATTAATTTTCATGGATTCAGTATTTGTCATGGATGCTCGGCTCCTATTAGTCGTAGCGTGATATTATATAGCCTATAGCCTTCTTCGATTAATGGACTATCAAACACTAAAAGAATTTTACAATTCGGACTAGTAGTGCCTGATATTAGTGCGTTCAACGAAACCAACTCTTTAGTTTTATAAAATGAGTAGGTATAGACTATTATACATACATTCTATGTATACCCATACAACCGTATGTATGACAATGATAAAGATTAAAATGTTGTAAAAACGTGCTAGACAGTTCATTTACATGAACATTTTCGTTTGATCATAACCTGTTCTAACAGACGCTAATGAAATGTGCGAATGTGTTCAACAGTCAACGTAATATAAAAGTGCAATGACCTTTCAGCTGACACACAACACGCTGACTGTACAAATGAGAAAGTGTGAACGGATGTTCATAGTTCTTTCGTTCATCATGGTTTTTGTGATTTGTCATTGAAATATACACAAAAACGTGACATCTATACAAATAAATAAAATTGGAGTGTCTGTTTGTAATATCAAATAACCGCTTTTTACTAAATGCATATGTATGTTTACACGGTACATATGCCAAAATATTTTTTTTTACGATTTTTGTCTGTCTGTGTTTGTTCCGGGTAATCTCTGGAACGGCTGGACCGATTTCGACAGGACTTTCACTAGCAGATAGCTGATGACATAAGGAGTAACTTAGGCTACTTTTTTTAGACTAGCTTCGCCCCGCGGCGTTGCCTGCGGTTATAACAACAAACGCGGGTAACACCGCGGGTCTGTTATTGGCATATGTACCGTGTAAACATACATATGCATTTCGTAAAAAGCGGTTATTTTTATATTACAAACAGACACTCCAATTTTATTTATTTGAATAGATTATCTCCTCATCTATCAAGTTAAATACTCAACTACTACTCAAGTTAAATGTATTAATATTTAATAAACATGAATGAAAATTAACTGCCTAACTTGAAACTACTAATTAGTAATTTCTTGTAATTCATCGTATGGAACCTTAGCCATCAAAATGCCAAGTGGCACTTGTGCCAGCTTATTTCGTAAAGATGGTTGATCATATTATTTTTGTTTCCCTAGGTGCATGTAATCTTCAGCTACAAGGGCAAGAACCACCTGATCAAGAAAGACATCCGTTGCAAGGATGACGTATACACTCACTTGTACACCCTGGTCGTCAAACCCGACAACACCTATGAAGTGCTCATCGATAATGAAAAGGTGGAGTCTGGTGAATTGGAGGCCGACTGGGACTTCCTCCCGCCCAAGAAGATCAAGGTATTGTGTTATTCTTAATATATCGTAATGCAGACACAATAAGACCATACATCAGAGACAGGGACAACAGAGATTGCGTAGGGGTTTAAGCTGTCACCTTGCCGTTTTCTACTGCCTTCTGAGTGTTGTGGGTTTGATCCCCACATGAGACAATGACATGATAATAATAGGCAATCACAACTAACACTTAGATTAAATATCTTCACACTTTAATTCTATAGGACCCTGAAGCCAAGAAACCTGAAGACTGGGACGACAGGGCTACCATTCCTGACCCTGATGACAAGAAACCTGACGATTGGGAAAAACCTGAACACATTCCTGACCCAGATGCAGCTAAGCCAGAGGACTGGGACGATGAGATGGATGGTGAATGGGAACCTCCTATGATCGACAACCCTGACTACAAGGGTGTCTGGGCGCCTAAGCAGGTATGTTATATTTCAATGCTGCACAGATGACTTAGGCGCTTAGGGTTGTGAGTTTGATTGACAACACTTTGTGTAATCAACAAATTGTTGTTCTGAGTCTGGGTGTTCTTTGTGTCCGTTTCATGTATGTTTATAGCTCCCCAGACACAAGATATATTCATACAGATATATAAATTACTGTATAGAGTTTAGGCGGTTGAATTATGTAGACCCTTGCTGCTATGATACAGAATAATAGTTCTAAAATTGCAGTATTTCTATACTCATATATATATATATATATATACATATATATATATATATAATAGAAGCATTTCATGTATAGAATGTCATCAATGTTGTATGTTTAGTACTCCGCTCCCATATCCATCTTAAAAGACAAAAAACATATCTATAGCTAAATGCACTTTAAGTCAGACTATGAGCAATTTGAAACAAACGAATGCTGTATACCTGACACTATAGAGAAACAGTTTTGTGCGATTAAGTAACATGACGAAAGATGTAATTTTACATACTTGTTTTAATCAAAATCTCTCGCATTCAATGTGCACATTGTTATGAAAAAACTGCATAAATAGTCATTGTTAAATTTCTGCGTAAATCTATTTAAAACACAAAGAGGGTACTTCGTCATGATGGCGTGACGTCACGAAAACTAATTCAATAAGTCGTACGTGTCCGTCTGTTTGCATATTGTGTTACCGTTATGTGGGTGTCGATGTCACGTTAACCGTTTTTAGCCACAATACGTTTCATTGACCATCGGTTCTTGGTTCGTTTTTTACTGTCAACTGTTGAGTTCATTAAACTTGAAATCAGTTTTATTTTTAGATTTTATAGTGAATTAACCGAGCTGTATATTTATTAGGGCAACATTTGTTTTTCTGCGTCTTTTAGGGTACCTAAAAAAGGTGATTCTCAATTTAGCTCTGCTATAAATAATTCTTTACAAAGGAATCAGAACTGAGCGATAGTTTTAAACGATTTAATACAAGTACATGTGGTCCCATACGTTTTAAAATTTAATCTACAAAAAAAAGGTAATAAAAAGTCTTAAGCAAAAAACACAAAGAACGGTTTATAGATAATTTCTTGATTACAAATTTAATTTATACAAATAGATAAACTCTGTGATGATTTTGTTTTTAATTATTATAAATAATTTCAGATTGACAACCCCGATTACAAGGGCCCATGGGTTCACCCAGAGATTGACAACCCTGAATACACCCCTGATGCAAACCTATACAAGCGTGAAGAGCTCTGCGCAGTCGGTTTGGACTTATGGCAAGTCAAGTCTGGTACCATCTTCGACAATTTCTTCTTCGGTAACGACCTCGAGGAGGCCAAGGAACGCGGAGAAGCCATCAAGAAGAGGTTAGAGGGTGAAAAGAAGATGAAGAGTGAGCAGGATGAAGTTGAGAGAGAAAAGGAGAAGGCTGAGAAGCCTGATGATGAGGAGGACGATGAAGATCTCGATGACGAAGCTGGTGAAGGCGCACCTGTGGTGAGTTGAACAACTTTCTTATTACATACTTGCCAAGTAGAATATTTATATAAGAAGTCGGCAGAATTTATTCACATTGTGTATATGCGACGATTGGTATCTGCACATTTTCTTCTAAAATCAAATCAGTAAATAATGATGAAGTATGCATGTATTTATTAAGTATTCCGAAAATAGTGTATACATAATTAATACATTATTACTGCAAGAGTTCATTTGTTACAAAAACTTTATATTTAAAACAAAAACCTAACTCAAGTAATTGTTTATTAAAATCTTTTGTTTAACACTGTTGTGCTTTGTCTACAGGAGGACCACGATGAGCTGTAAACTGTGTCAATGTGAGTGTAAAGACAATAAGTATCGTCAGGTACATACGTGAGCGTGTGTGTGTACGCGGCCCGAGTGCTGCGCATGGGTATTGTTCCAAAAAACTTAGAAGAACATTAAGTTGGTTATAGTCTGCTAATAATAGTGTGTTATGTTACAGTCTCTTCTATCTATATGTATAATAATTACGAGTTGTAAGAATTTATTCACTATCTTATTATTTATATACCTGTAGTGCGTGGCGGCTTGAAATGTTCCATGTTGAGTTGGTTGTCATATTTATTTTTGTCTCCAACGTCTTATTGTGTATAAAGTTAAGATCACGCTCAGTTTTATCGTATTAATGTTATTACGGCACTGTGTGTCGTCGAGTGCTGGGGTTTATTGTACAATACTAGTTGCTGTAGCCTAAATTTTTGTATGAATTTGACTACTGTTGTAGAATAAATCAGTGAGTGAAAGTTTCTCATATTTGTTGCGAAACGAGTCTGATTAAAATTAATATATTAAAATTTTGTTTTATTTATGCACTATGTGCGGCACAGGAATTTGAACCCACTTCCAAAACTGCGTAAGCAGTATATACGATAGCATAGATTGTGTATTGTTTTTACTTTTTATATGAACGAATGAGGCACGCCACATGTCATAGTCTGTCAAACCAATAGATATAATAATAAATGTAATCTCTTCTACCATTTTACTTTGAATGATAATATTAATGCGTGTCGGGTAAGGTGGGATAAGTAAGCACAAAATATTGGTGAGTTTTAAAAATTTATTATATTTTTTACATAACAGACAGATATGTGTACACCGTACCGTATACGCGTATCAAAATCTTACTCTCTACATCGCTGCAGTTACACAAAAGAGACTAGCAGATCATAAGATATGTTTTAAAATTTATTTATTCAGTTGTTGACCAATATATTTGAAATCGTAAATGTTTATTAACAAAGATAATATTGTATTCCAACTAGTTTCACATGAGTTCTAATACTAATTAATGTCTGTCTTAAAAGTAAACATAAAAAGTTACGAAAACTTTTTTCATAAATTAGTAATAAGATGATTGTCCTATAATGTAAATAGGTTAGACATAAACTTAACATAATTGGAAATTAATTCTTCGAATGGGTTAGGTATACTTGTATATGTCTTCGGACTCGATGACTGAGCATGACTAGTTTCACTCGCGGAAATCTTACTTTGAATATCACTCGTGCGCTCCAACGTAACTGTTCAAAAAAACAGCATTATATGTTACGATAGTCAGATTACTCAAGTGTTTGAAGCATGTAAAAATTAGTTAATTAATTATAAATCACTAAAATTAATGCCATGAATAGTTTCAGAATAATGGGACGAATATTCTGTGCTGTTTATAATTCCTGTAAATGATGCGGTTGTGTTTAGCGCCATCTATCGCCTACGTTACGTTTTTAAAAGATTTTTTCAATCACTGACTTACTCAGTTTGACGATATCTGAAATAATAAACATATAGTTAGTTAATTTTATCTGAGAAATAATATCGTTATATTAGTAATTTATTTAATATTAAAGACAATTATTATTTTATTGTTAAAGTTTCGGAGTAGAACAAATTCCGTAAAAGTTACCCTAGCCTGCTAAGACATTTATTTACGTTATTGCATAATTATATTTGTGCAACGTCAATACTTCAATTTAATTAACTTAATGCAGTGTCTAAAATATTCTCCTTAATTTTATTAATGTCAAATTCACAATTTTAATACTTTTCTTCCCTACCACCGCTCGCTTCAGACCTATTCATAGAAGGGAAGGAAGTTGGTGTTTAAGTTAGTAAACATTGCTGTATTAGCAGACAGCTAGCTACAGCAGCAGAGGGACCTTTAAAGTTGTTGATTCCGTATGTTTCTACTAGGTAGATCGATATTACAATGTTTATTCTTCGAATTTACTAAATGGACACCAAAATTCATCCTAAAACAAAAATTACCTATGCAACAGTAGATTTTATGTTAATACTGTTAGGAAATCTACTGAGATTAAATTTCTCAGAACTGTAGTTTTAAGGTATGCGTTCTTCACAATAATTTCTCATTGTCAATTTTGCATCTACCCACAAATAGTAGAGATAAACCATTACTAGCCTCGATTTAAAATTAAGAATTATTTGGTTTTATTTATGTGGCCTGGTTTAATTTACCTTTCAGTAAACAGTCCGTCGTATTTTTAAACAGTCAGGCGAATATCTTTCAATCAAGAACATTATTATAATAATTAAGGTAGTTACTGTTAGTAACAGTACACAAGGACCCTATAGTACCCAAACATTATCTATAAACACTGGTATTTATCGAGAAATGTAATATGCACACAAAGGTACATCAATACCAAACTTGTATTAATCACAAGAATAAGGTACCAATATCTACTAAGCTGTAAGTAGAATGTCAGGATTGTCGATGATACGAACCTTTATGAATGTTCTCCAGTTGCTCTATGGTACTTGGAGTTGTTGTGGATGTTGTGGTGGTTGTGTCTTGAGGTGTTGGGGTGAGATGTCCCAAGAGGTAACAGGGCCGCGGTAAGGCGAATGCTGTCATTAAAAAAAGCATCTGGTTACTGTTATTGATGAAGTAGGTATATGAAGTTGATAAACGATGTCAGCTGGGCTAGAAAACTGGTGATCAATGAGCCATTGAATAAAGCAGTTTATGACCGTTTAGAGTTGTTTAAGTTTTTGTAAAAATAAAAGTAGTGTTCCTTCTGTGTGTCTGTCATTACGAAGTGAAGACTTTGGAAAAAAAAGTAGTGGTGTAAGTGGATTTTAGAGGTTCTTGAAGAGATAATAATTAAATTCATTTAAAATCTCACCATCATGAGTAGCCAGGATTAAAATCTGAAAATACACAGTTTTATTATAATAAGTATTTACATCCATTTATCTGCGTGTAGAACTTAATTTATATTATACTAGATTTTCTCGTAGCTCCGCCCGCGTTTATGTAGGTTATCGCGGTAAAAAGTACCCTATGTTACTCGCTGATAATGTAGCTTTCCATTGGTGAAAGACATTTTAAAATCGGTTTGGTGGTTTAGCCGTGAAAGCGTAACAAACCAACTCACTTTCACATTTATAAGTATGGAAGTATTGATTGGAGTACTTAGGTGCAATATTGTGTGCAGACCAGTCAAAGTAAAAAGAGTGAAGAAGGTGAAAATGGTTGCGAGCTTCGGCAATAGTACCAAAACTAGAAATGTATTTATCATCCTCAAACCGCCGCAATTATTAGGAAAACTGCATTCGCCGTGATATCGATAGTTAGAACACTCAATTATGGTTTTCGATCGCGATGTGTGCTTTTTCTTCAGTGTGGTGCTATTTATATAGTTTTGATACAAAGTTTTTATCTACCTAAGACTTCATAAAAGCACTTTACGCATTTACGTTGGGAAATAGATTCCTTCGTTCACTCCAATTAAAACCCTATAATATTACTTTCTTTAAAAACGACAAAAATAACCTAGTATATTTTTACGTATTGTTTTGAGCGTTATATAATTTTAATGTTTTCTAAAATAATACAATGATTGTCCTCCACCACTTATGAATGACAAAGCAGATTTACATTTATCTGTTTAAATATTAGACTATTATTCAAATTATAATAGTAGTGGTGCTCAACAAAAGATTTTCTAGTAAGTTATGCTAGCTTCGCAAGATGGCGCAAGATGTCGCAATATAAATCATACATTTGTATTGTAATCGAACTTATCAGGTGTCATTCTGATTTCTGGAGGGCAGAAAATAAGTAAATCTGTTCAGATATTTTTATAAGTCGTACTTTACAGCTAGAAGGAGCAGGCATTTCCCAAGACTCACTCTGGGAAGAAACGCCGAAACAAACCAAAGAGGTATCTTTTTTTTAGTCCGTAAACAAAGTTAAATAAAACTGTTCGAGTACAGTATAGGGTCTGGGGAAGCCTTTTGTTATCTACGACATTTAAAAATCATCAATCAATCCGATCAGTAGTTTACTAATCAAATCTAAGAAATGTCATAAATGAATAAATGTCAACAGTACGCTGCTTAAACGAATACAGTTTCTACGTATCTCAAACCATGTTACTACACTAAATTTTTTTTTCTGAAACATTTTATAGATGATCACGTCAAGCGGAAGCTACTATATTAGTTACGTTTTTTTTCACCAATAGAATTTATAATAGGTTTATTTATTGTGTCAGATGTGTGAGAAAAACTTCAAGACACTTCCGCGGCGTTAACTTTTCGGCGCGGCTTTTAGTTCAGCCTTTTAAGTTAGGATTTAGTCTTCAGTTTTAGTCTTTTGACTCCAATGCTTGACGGTTCAAAGACTAGTCTAGTCGTGAGTCTTCTTCGTTGTATTTGTTGCGTTCGTATTCTTCATAAATGATTCTAGTCTTTTTAAAAAGACTTAAACGAGTGAGTCTCTTGCATCACTGCTACTGACTAGCTTTTGCCCTTGGCTTCGCACACTTTAGAGTATTTTTTTCTAACTATCTATATATTTCTATATTATTGATACATTCCTAATGCGAAAGCTGTCTTTAAAAAAATAAAAGTAACAAATAAATTGTGTTCAACGCGGGATTATTAAAAAGTTTTCTCAATTATAATCAGTTTTGGATTAGATCGAATCTGATAATACACAATACACAATTGATCATTGGGAGCTGGTTTCCTAGCTAGGTAGAGACCTGTATTATGGATAACCAGGCTTCCATTCCACAGTAAAAAATATAGTGTGAGGTAGTGCAACATTGTACATGTAGGAGTCGGCAGTACAAGAAAAAGAAAATACATCTAATGTGGTAGGTATATATGACTGACACGCAGGTGTGTGTGTGTGTGTGTGTGTGTATGTGTGTGTGTTTGCGTTCGATTATGTGTTAGTAAGTGCGCGCGCATGTGGGTTCATATGTGTGTGTGCGTGTGTATAATATAAGTTATTATTTTCCTAAAACTAACAGTTTTTAATTGATGAACTATTTTTCTCACACATCGTCTAGTATTTGGATAAATATTAAGTTCTTTGTTAAGTTTTTTTTTTTTTTTTTTTTTTATTTATTTATTTAAGGTCGCTTTTTAACATCTCAGGTCATTAGCGACCACAATTGACAATAGGTATACATATATAATCACACTGTAGTTTATACTAGGTTATAGACATTGATCATTTTCAGAAAACTTAAAGTTTGCATACATCCTTTTTGATTTAAACAGTCTTGTAAATTATTTGGCATGTTACATAACTTTTTCTTGCTACAATAAGCTGTGCATTCCTCTAATAAATGCTTAACAGTTAAATCAAGTCCACACTTGCATTTATTTCTTTCGGTTTTAGTAATTAGATGAATATGTGTCATATTTGAGTGTCCGATACGTAGACGGGTGATGATCACTTGATCTTTTCTACAAGTAAAATTATTGGGGGATTTATTAAAAATAGACTTCCTTATACTATATAACTTTGATGTATTTTCTGTTTTCCAATACTCATCCCAAGTAGATTTAATTTTATGTTTGAGGTATTTTTGTAGTTCGTCTGGAGTTGATTTATTTGTATGCCAATTTTCGATTTCATTTATTGCTTGCCTCGCTTCATGATCTGCTTTTTCATTACCAACTATCCCTTGATGACTTGGAATCCAAATAATTTCAAATTTGTAGTTATTTTTAAGTAGGTTTATAATTTTTTGTTTAATTTCTATAACTAGGGTATTTGTGTTATTTGTACTTTGTAACGCTGTTAAGCATGATTTAGAGTCAGTATATATTATATATTTATCTGTATTAATATCACTACTTATTAGTTCCAAGGCTTTAAGGATTGCTATTGCTTCGCAACTAAAAATTGTATTAAAATCTCCAAGTCTATAACGGTAACAATTATTCCCATATACTATTGAACATCCTGATTTTCCGTCCTTAACTGACCCGTCCGTATAAAAAATCTTACAATCTGTGTACCTACTATTAATTTCTAAGAATAGGGTTTTGTACATGTATTGAGGAGTATCTTCCTTGTGGTTTTTTGATAATTCGAGGTTGATGGGCCAATCTAAGCTTTCCCATGGGCCAATCGAAAGCAATTTCTTCGTAAAAAAATTTGGAATCTTGAAATTAATTTCCTTTAAATATTTAGTTGCTCTTATTCTGAAGGGTCGCGGTAAATGGGATCGAAGTTCATATTCCGTGTCTGCAGCTGTTATTTTAGTGTAAATATAATAAGTTGGGTTTTCAGGTTGAGATGATATATTAATAGCATATCTTATAACCATTTCCTTTCTTCTAAATTCTAACGGCATTTCTCCAGCTTCAGCTAAAATACTATTAATCGGACTTGTTTTAAATGCACCAATACTCAATCTAAGGGCAGTATTTTGAATGCTTTCGAGAGAATTGAGTGTTCGTTTTTTTGCTGAGTCATAAACTACGCATCCATAATCTATTTTTTGTCTTATCAAAGCACGATATGTGTTTATAAGACATTTTCTGTGAGATCCCCATGATGTCGACGACAGAATTTTAATAACATTTAACCTTTTATAGCACTCAGATTTAAGTTCATTTATGTGTGGAATTCATGACATCTTTCTATCGAATGTTAATCCTAGAATTTTCATTTTGTTAACTTCTTTAATATTGTGTTCATTTAAAGTCAGCTGTGCATTTTTTGATTTAATTCTTTTACTAGACATGACCATGAATTCTGATTTAGTTTTTGAAAATTTAAAGCCTGATTTCTTTGACCATTCCTCAAGGACTCCCAGTGTATTCTGTATAAGTTTTAATGTTGGTTGCAACGATCTACCGCTACAAGTTAGTGTTAGGTCATCAGCGAAAAGAAACGCTTTTACCGGTTTATCAATAAGTGGAAGAATGTCGTTAATAGCTAGCAAAAATAGAATAACACTAAGTACCGAGCCTTGAGGTAGACCATTTTCTGTACGAACTGGGTTAGATGTTGTATCATTGATTCTTACTTTTATTGTCCTATCTGAAAGGAAGTTTCTAATGAACGCCAGAGCATTTCCTTTAATATTGATGTCTTGTAATAATTTTAGTAACCTGTGTTTCCAAACCATTTCATAAGCTTTCTCAATATCTAATGCTACAATCACTGTATAAATATCATTAGCAAATCCATCCAGTATGTCACTTTCTATATTCACTAAATGGTCTATTGTGGATCGAAACTGGCGAAATCCATACTGAAATGGTGACAAGTATTTATTTATTTCTACGTACCATCTAATTCTTTTACTGATAATTTTCTCTAATATTTTACATAGATTACATGTTAAAGATATCGGTCTATAGCTAGTTCGTGAACTTGAAATCTTTTGTGGTTTTAATATTGGAACTACTAAAGCTTCTTTCCAATTGTCCGGAAATACATGATCGTTATATATATGGTTATATAGTTGAAGTAAATATTTAAGTCCTGTCATTGGCAAATGTTTAATTAAAATATTCGGTATATTATCTGGTCCTGGGCTAGAATTACCAATTTGTGAAAGTATTGAAATTAATTCGTGCATTGATATTTCTTTATTGATTGGGTTGGAATTGTCGGATGTCTCGAGATTTGAATCGGTCTCTTGTCTAATTTTATATTCAATAAATAAATCATTATAGTTATTAGAACTAGAATTAGTTGCAAAAGATTCAGCTAAAAGGTTTGAGGTTTCAATAGGGTTAGATGTAAACATACCGTCATTTTGTTCTAGTACAATTTGGTTGAATCTAGTGTTGCGGTGATTTAGTTTCTGAATCTTGTTCCACATATCCCTAACAGGGGTTTTGTTAGTAATAGATGACACCCAATTTTCCCAATATCTTTTTTTATTTTCTTTAATAAGTCTCCTATAGTAAGCTCTCTTCTTCTTATAATTGATTTTATAAGTCGAATTGGGGTCATCTCTAGCATATCGTTTAAAGAGTTTTAGCGCCTTTTTTGTTTCTCGAATTGCAATTTTACAGTCCTCGTTCCACCATGGTAAATTATGTTTTCTTAAGATACCAGATGTTTTAGGTATTGAATTATCAGCAGCCTTAAGAATGACTTCAGTGAATTTATCAACCACCACATTAATAGAAGAATCTATAAATTGATTTACTGGTACTAATTCTGTTATATTTAGATCAAAGTATTCCCGAAACATGTTCCAATCTGCTTTATCAAACTTCCATTTCTTAGGCACTCTAATATCGTTTGATACATTAGAATTAAAATTAGATGTAATGAAAATGGGGAAATGGTCACTATCATACAAATCGTCCAGGGCGTTCCATTCAAAATATGACGTTATATTTTGTGAAGCCAAGGTAAGATCTATATTACTTGTCAGACCCGTATGGCTATTAAAACGAGTAGGTTGTCCGTTATTTAATAGAAATAAATGATCAAGTTCGTCAAGCCATTCTGCTATTAACTTACCCCTAGAATCACATTTATCTGAACCCCAATAAAAGTGATGGCTATTGAAATCGCCTAAAATTATCACAGGAGATGGAAGCTGACTAATGAGATTATTTAATTGCTGTTTATCAAGAGTACTACTATTTGGTAGGTAAACGTTACATAATGTAATAGATAGTGGGAATTTTATGTTTATTGCAACTGCTTCTAAATTTGTGTTTAAAACTATTTCTTCTGGAATCGTATGAGACTTAATATAAATAGCCACTCCACCACTAGCCCTATCACCTTGCAACCGATTTTTGTAAAATTGTTTGTATCCTGTTAAAGAAGCGCATTTATTAAAAGTAAAATTTGTTTCCTGTAGACAAATGCAAGTAGGACATAATTTACTTATTAATAATTTGATATTTTCAATTCGTTTATAGTAACCATTAACATTCCATTGTAATATATCCATATTAACTAATAATAACGTATCTTTAAAATAATATGTAGTAGTAAAAAATTAAGTTAACTTTTAAATTATTGATCTATGTCCGTTGTAACAATAGGTGTGGGAGATATTAATATTTCATGTAATTTCCTTGACAGACGTGAACATCTATTTTTTTGGCTTTTGTTCATCTTACAGTGTAATTTGTTACACATTTTAATAAGGTCCTTAATGTTATCTGTATAAGAATATACTAATTCTTTTATATTTTGTTTTCCTCGTGTATTATCTAATAAGCTAATGAATTGGTCTAAATTAATAGGGAATGTATTTTCGTTGTTTAACGTGGATAATTCTTTTTCAATATTTGTCCAAATTTCTTCTTCAGTTCTAGGGTCAGACTTTTTTAGTTTCTTTTTTGTTTTTGTTTTGGTTTCCAGATCTTCCAATGATATATTACTGCCTGTTTCATCAGATTCAAATTCCATTCTGTCAGACTCCTCTTCTTGTGTGTGTTGTTTTATAATATTTATTTTTGAGGATTCAGTAGTCGTTAGTGAATGTGTTCTTTTTACTCCTTTTGGGTTCATCTGAGATGGTTGTGAGAAGCCTTGATTTACTGGGGTACATTTAGGGTCATCCTGAGGGTGGGTAACAATTAAATCATCGCATCTATCGAATATATCAATAATTTCTTTTGCTGTTTGTTTTTCCATTTCACGGGGGTAGTCTTGAATATTTTTTATATTTTGTGGGCAATTTTTAGCTAAATGCCCCAGTGTATTACAAGTAAAACATTTTAGAGCATCAGTAGATGTATAGATCCAGTAATTAGTGCCTTCGAATGTAATTTGAAATGTTTCTGGCAGACGTGCCACATCGTCTGGGCTAATATATAATTGTCTTCTAAAACTTAAGATGTGGGAAAAGCCTGGGTCGCTAACACCTATTTTCATAAATGTTAGTGGCGACATTATTTTTATATTTAATTCTTCAAATCGTTTTTCAATTATATAATTTGGAATAACGGGACAAACATTTGATAAGACGATCCTTTTATTTCTTGTAACTAAAGATTTTATTTCAAGAATATTACTTTTGATAGTTAGCTTTTTCTTTTCTTCGACAAGGTTATCGGCGGTTTTTTTCGAGTCCATATAAATACATATTCGAGCATTCGATATTCGAGATATAAATCGTATAGACGTTGCAGGAATAATTGACGATAATGCAATGAGGTACTCCCTGAGTGTTATACCGTCAATGGAGTCCAGTACGATGGCTTGGTCTTTCTTGGGAAAACAAGTAGATGAAGTAACATTTGCATAACTTGACGTATTGGGTGTTTCTTGAGACATTGTGGTTGGTTGGTACACTGGGGGATTTTGAGACGTTGAGGGTCCAAACATTATTTTATAAGGGGGCTCCTGTTGCCAGGAGTTACCCTATTAACGAAAAAAAAAAATCAAAACAAATATTAAGATTCACGTGTCGCGTAGTGAATATTGTATTCAATAGCGGGTCGGACGGAGTGAGTCACGCGCGTCCGCTGTGACCGCCAGCGCGGAACTGTTTGTTAAGTTTGTTATACAAGTGGCGACCTAGAAAAGAGAAAGATCTGTGAGAAAAATCAGAACAAGTCGGGGTTGTACAAACGTTATATTTGCGGCGCTTGTATAATATGGTGGTATCAAAGAATAACAGCAAATGCTGTTTAAGTACAGTTTACAGGATGAAAAGTTGTCGAACTGAAAGCAAAGAGCTACTCCTATGAAGTTCTACAGTAGGGAAGCGCAATGGCAGATCCAAGGATCCTTTCAATACTGGTCGTTGTGCTCGCTCCAATTTTAGGTGTGTAGTTTTATAAGTGCCTCCCCAAACTTTTACACAGTAAATTAACAATGATTGACAAAGCGACACGCAAGCTTTTGAATACATACATTAGCTTGCGCAACCGTCCTGAAAGTAATTCAATGTGTCCATTGAACCTTAAATTATGATCGATAAGGACACCAAGGTACATTATTTCGTCAACATTTTGCAGTCGAGGACAGTGGCACGAGCATTCCACGCTTCGTGGGCGGGGGCAGCAGTGAGTCACAATAGACCAAGCATATTGTGGTGGACATCATCGTATCGGGCAGGTAGGGCTTCGCTCACACTGTTCCGAATAACTGTGTTTTGAGTTCTATTGCTTAAATAGTCCAGCATAGTATAGCACGTTCCAGCTTTTACAAAAGTATTTCGATAGAGACCGTGTCAAAAGCTTTTGCTAAATCCAGGAATATTGCTATGCACTTCATGCCCCCATCCAGATTTCTATGAACATAATCGGTTAGGGCATGAACCGCATCCACAGTAGATTTTTGAGAGCGTAAACCGTACTGGGAAGAGGACAGCATTTTATTTTTCTCTAAGTACTTCATGAGCCTGTTATTCATTATCTTTTCTAAATGGAATAGAACTGTCAGTCATTCATCATTATTTTGTCGATTTAGAAAAAATCTGCTTTAACAGAAGTATCACTGACTTCAATTCACCTACTACATCGTGAATAATTATAATAAACTGTATTTTTCCTGCCTTAATTTTCATATTTAGTTCATAGTTTCATATTTAGTTACTTCAAGTTTGGAAAATTCTTTTTTTTATTTAAAAAAGTATGCTTCCAAAGGTGAAGCATACTGTTTTAAATTTAAAAAAAATGAATTTTCCATATCGGTTTATAATATAATTGATGAAGCTTTGAAGTAACAAAAACATTTTAAAAAAAAACAGGCAAATTGACAAGTTTTCATTTTTTTTTGAAATCGGTTTAAAAAAAGACTGTAAATGTGTTGAATAAAATAAGTTAATCTTACCAAAACTACGGCAAAGGAGTACGAAAGAGTCTGCATGATTTAACTATTCGTCGTACGGAGAACTGATAGCACTGCAGTATTCATAAAGTCCCCTATGTTTATATATCCGCAGAACAACACCACAGATACGGTATATTATACGGCTATTAACACATGCTCTTGGTAAAGAATGTACCAAATAACATTTTTCAAAGCGTTTTGTCAAGGTATTGTCATGAAACAGTTCTGCTAATAATATGACGTGATCATTTGACCACCTTCCACCATACATGTGAAGTTCACAATTGATACTAAGCCCCTTTATTTACTGTTTAAATTCAATATATTTAACCTACAAATAGACTAAAAATAAAATCTGCAATAGTGGTATATGGAGTTTGTCCTCGTACACTACCTCGATCTCTTATATGCATAATCCATCATCAAGCAGACGTATAATCTGCTTTACTGTGCATAGATGATTAGATGATTTTCTATAGTCAGTACAATACTGCCGTATTTATCCGCCAGTTAGTTGAACAGGTACAGTTTTACCAACTGTTGTTAAGCAACCACCACGGTAGAACAATTGGAAACTTCACAGTCTGTGCGTCTAAAAAATGTAGTGTTTTTGAAACTAAAACAGGTGTATTAAATTGTTTTAATAGGGATTGATTGCCCTTTCCGTGTGGTGTGTATTTTCTTCAATTTCCGATTATTTAAAAAAACTAGGTAGTTAACGATTATTAAACGCGGCTATACTGAGGCCGCCAGCGGCTTGCCGACCCGGGCACGTGACCCCTTGGCCCTGGGTGTTCATTTTTCTTTCATCAATCATCCTTTTGCCAAGGAAAGTTTGTTTTCTAAGTCTTCCATTTCGTCTAGTACAATTATGTTTTGAACGTGTTATGGATCTATTAAGCAACATTCCCTCAATTTCCTTTCTTTTATAGGTCTGTTTATTTTTCATTATTTTAGGAAAGGTATATTCGATTTTGTAACAAACTCTGTATTGTAAGATCAAACTTCATGGTTTTGACTTCCTTGTATTAATGATAGAATCGTATTCTTTCAAAAGACAGAAATCTGTTGGAATATTGTAGAGACCATTATTATATCATCATCATCAGTGTCATCACTTTAGAAATGATGTTTATTATTAAGTCACAAACTCCTTGCTTCAGAAATTTGGCGTTAAAATTGTTGACTTTAGGAATACGCGTAGCATTATTTTTTGAGCCCAATATAGTCGTTAACAATCACTTGTTAGCTAAAACTAAATGAAGATTTTTCAAAATACCTAAAATTTTAAATTAACCTACTATAGTTAATTTTGCATACCAGAAAAATATTATTTAAATTCGTTAATGTGGAATGTCTAAATACGACTGGCTCCGCACAAGTTAGAAAGCCCAAAGTTTTATCAAGAAACAATATTTTTGTTATTTACAAGTTTATTTTAACTTCAGTTTAATAGGAGCCGCCCTAACACAGCTTTGTTTTCACAAACACCCTTAAGTTAACCATCCCAGTTTTGTATTATCACCATGAACTATGATTCTAACTTTTATTTGGGACATGATAAGGTATAAAATGGCTAGTTTTGGAGTAAAGGTGTGTTGTTTCCCTTAAGGCGGGGTGATAACATAAAGTGTCAACATTTGCCCTGCACCGCTGGATATCCGCCGTTGACTGACACGACCGTTTCTTGTCCATAGACAAAAATGTGGGTGAAATAAATGAAAGTAATCTTCCCTATTTTAGTTAGTAGTAGGAGTTTAGTTTTACAGAAGATGGCGTATTGAGATAATATTTGTATTAGTATCATGAGGGCTTTGGAGATTGGGGATGTGATATTATAATATGAGGAAAATCAACCGTGGGGTATTATAACATGTTTAAAAAATATTGTGTAATTTTTTTAATTCATAATTAAAAAATAATGTGCTTTTTTACCGTGCAATTTTATATTTGCGTTAGAGCTACAGTTCACACAAATTCACGAGAGCGCAGGTTCGAATCCCGTTCAGTTCAAATATTTGTCTAAAAAAATATCTATTTATATATCTGTGATTAATATGTTTATATATTATTTTGATGTTCCCATGTTCATTTTGTCTCCTTTACATACCTCTGTCTCTTTTTTTAAATAAGAAAAGCGTGTAGGTATAAATTACTTAAAAAAACATGAAATACATAAAACATAACACGTTTAACCGATTAACATTTTTGTTTTCATGGTTTTAAGAAAATTACAATATTATTGGTATGGAAAATGTAGGTTGGTTCTACGGAGTGTAGTTAATGTAACGTTCCTTTTGCTTTCATAATGGTACAGGTTAAATATAGGTTTATGGCAACAAAATCCCCTAAGGACATTATTCTGCACAGGTAACCAGAATTTACCCAAAGAGCTAAGGCGACAGTTTTACTACCTAACTCGTAAATCGTCGGCACTGCACTCCTTGGTACTACGAAACGCCTAAAGATTATTTATGTTCTTTTAAAATATACTATAGTTATAAAATTAATTAATTTTTTTTTAATAAATAAATTAAAAAATAAATAAATTAAATTAAATTAAATAAAAAGGCTTTTCAACTAAGAATTTTCTTCTTAATTGAAGATTATAATTAATGTGTTCATATTTAATGTGATAATTTTTAGAAGATATAAATAGGAGTAATTTCACACGTTAACTAATCAACCGTCATGAAATATTGCATAGTGATAATACATATAATAGTGAAAACATATTTGATTCAACATAACAATAAAGGAGGATAGTACGGTACCAAGGAGGTGGCCGGTCTCTCATCCACTTCTTTAAAGTACTGGCACTACTGGTACTGGCTCCACTATGTAACCGTAACAATACTCAAGACAAGGCTGCCGCTGATCCATATGACTGTTCATACAACGCCTGTTCATAAAATCATATTTTATTTTTATTTAGATGTTGAAGGTATTGCCATGTCTTTATTATTTTATTTTAGCAGTTAATATGTGTAACAATGTTACACTTATTCTGCTATCGAACGACAATCGACTACGAAGTAATCTCGTGGTACAAGCCAGTGTTATGACATTTTTATGCCTGGATAGGGAGCGCAGGAACGAATCGATGCTAACACGATTAGGGGGAACGGACACCATTAACACCCCACGAAAGATTTCCGAACGGGGAAATTGTGAAATTCTTATAAAAAGATACGTGGATACCAGATAATGGCAGTTAATAGTAACTTACCTTTTTAATAGTGCACTGCACGGATGGCGTAGTGGCCTCGTCACTTCCTATTGCGCTGAGTGTTGTGGGTTCGATCCCCACATGGGACAACACTTATGTGATCCATAGATTTTTGTTCTGAGTCTGGGTGTTCTTTGTGTCCGTTTCATGAATGTTGGAAAGTCCTTCGCGACACAATATATTTCTAGTGCGGGCGTTGTCTTTAAAAAAAAAGAAAGAAAATGAATACTTATATCTATCGATGTTTAGGGCCATCTTTTTTGGTAAACTGTTAAAAATGCGAATCAGCTTTTTAATTTTTTAAATGCTAACACTGAGCCAGAAGTTTATTTTTATAAACTACATGATCCGTTGAAAATCAAATTAAGTAAGGAATCGTAACAGGTACAATTTGAAGATATAAGACTGGACAGTTCACTGAATCACTAAACAAATTTAATGTTTGAACGTAAAATAAGCCTAAATGTTTGTAAATTGGAATCGTTTTTTACAGACTGACGGCTGACCATGGACAACTGATATGTAAAACTGTAAAAAAGTGTCTCAAAGAGACCAGTGAGTGGCTCCGAGTTCTTATTTTAATACTAGCTGACCCGCGCAACTTCGTCTGCGTCTCTCAATAGTAATATTTTTTTACCGTTTTGAAACATTCTTCATTGGTACTCCGCTCCTATTGGTCTTAGCGTGATGATATATAGCCTATAGCCTTCCTCGATAAATGGGCTATCTAACACTGAAAGAATTTTTCAAATCGGACCAGTAGTTCCTGAGATTAGCGCGTTCAAACAAACAAACAAACAAATAAACAAACTCTTCAGCTTTATAATATTAGTATAGATATAGACAAGAAAAGTGTAAGATAACTTCAAGATAATCAACGCTAGAGAAAAACTAACTTCTGCAGAGATAGAATGTGTAAGATTAACTTTCAGTTTTTAAATTATAGTTATCCTTGGTGTGAATAGTTTATACATTTGCTGTCATTTAAAAGGGAATTTTAAGATATTTATTTAATGATACTAGTTTGATTATTTCTAAAGACTTAAAGTAAAAACGAGAGACACGACGGCTCTTCGGAATACTTATGGACAATAGATAAGGAAAATATCAAATGATTCAATTAAGAAGTTAGTATTCTGGACAATCTGACTCATGGCGACAATCAATTTCTTAGAAATCTTTAATCATTGTACATTAAATACTATCCTACTTTTACACACAAACTTTTCTAAAGTGATACAGATAAGGTCTTGTACGACATGACGTTGGGTAAGGCAGATTTATGTTTAAATAGGCACCAACTAACCCTGAAAAAACCTTTTTTTTATATAGTTATTGTTGTTGTTGCAAGTTGTTGTTAAATCTTAACACCGGCTATCATTTAAAATCTGATGGGTAACTTACTTGCTTGCTAACTTGCTGTGTGTTTTTTTTGATCTGACCGCTGTTTTTTAGTAATTTTTCATTTCATTTTATCATAAATAAGAACATGAGTTCGACTATAACCTAGGGATAATGCAAAAATATTATTCGCGAATGAATAATTTAATGTTTTTTCAGTTGTGTCGTTTCAAGTGTCGTATAAATTGACATGCTGGCAGCGCCCGTGCCGCGTAGCGAAAGCATTTGCCTCGCGTTGGATAACTTAAGCGTTCAAGGTCACACATAATATGTTCGTGGTAGTGATAAATAGTTGTGTATATTATATTGTTTTTGTAGTAATAAAGTTAAGGTGGCTTTACACGTGTCAATGAGGCGTAATATCATTTTGATTTTATGTTATAGAATAACGGAGGGACGACTAAGT